GCAAACCAAGGCACAGCCAGTAAATGTGACAAAACACTTCTATGTTAACGTTATGGAGCAAGAATTACTATTTCCCCTTGCCTCAAAACTTGATTTCTCAAGAGAACTGCTACAGCCCAGCACACAGCAGCCTTCAAAGGCACCTGCACCCCGTGGCCCTCCTATGCTGCCTTTGTTCCACTGGTGGGGAATGAAACAGTGCTTCCTACACAACTGGGCCATGCAGCACTTGTTATGGAGCCATTCTCCTTCCCTCTTTTAGAGGGGCTTTCCAGGAAGAGAAGTGCTGCAGTGCTCCAAAACACAAACCACCTGGTTGCAAGCAGGCCTGCCAGAACTTGCATCTCTCTCACCAGGACCTGCTTGCTGCACCTCTTGGGAGTGCTTTGTTTGAATGGGACAGGCTCTAACAGCTCCAATGCATCAAACAGACTCCCTGTGCAAACAGGGCAGCAGGAGAGGGGTGGCTCCATCACAGCCAGGGCAGGGTGGCACTCCTCTTGCAGGGAGAGCTGGCAGAAGGCCAGCGGCTTTCTCCCTGCAGCTGGAATCGTGAGAGCAAAGGAAAGCAAAGCATCCCCATGCACACCCCACATGTGAGGCACTCAGGAGCTCTTATGGCCTCTGTCCCTTGGTGTGGAGTACATGGCTTCCATTCATGATGAAAGCTGAGAGGAAGAAAGCTGCAACCAAGATGTCAAACGAGCACTCAGGGTTTGCAACAGGCTGGCAGCAATAACACTGCCCAATGCTGTTTTTTTGGTGGCTGGTGGTGTGGATTCCCCACACACTGGCCTTCACCACCCTGCCTGGCTTCCATTCAGCTCACAGCATAGCCCAGGCAGCGGCACAGCCTGGGCAGGGAAGTTAAAAGCCCGGTTCAAGGTTAGAACAAGAGAGCAAGGCGGTCCCCTGAGTGGGAAACGGCGTTTTTCAAAGAGAGCTAGTAGGCGGGTCAGATAGAGAGGAGTCCTGACCCTTCCGCAATCTGTTGAACAAATATTTGTTCCAAACAATTAATTTAGAGACAGACACAAAAAAATTGAAGAGTCTGAATCGTGATGGTTGGGGGTGGGGAACAGAGGGAGGAGGTGTCTGATTCCCCACAAGCAGGGACCAGTGATTTTCCACCAGTGATTTAATCTAAATCCCCCAGAGAGTTCATTTACAAAAAATCAGATTGCATTATCGCCTAGGTCTCCAGGATACAGCCCAATCCAGTCACTAACAGCAACAGCCACACTAGCTTGGAAACCTCAGTTTGATCACTTAATTCCAAAACTAATCTGTGGCTCTAAAAGCCAAAAGCAGAGGGAGGGGGAAGGAACTCCGTATTTGGCCAGGGTTATCTGCAGGATGAGAGAGCTAATGGGCCACATACAGCCAGATGAAATGGCCAGCAGATCCCGGGCTACTAATCGAAACCAAGCTCCGCTCCTTGCCTGAGCAGCCCCACCCAGGCAGTGCCCCAGGGCGGTCACATTCCTGGAATTCTTTCAGTCTTCCTGAACTACCTCCCTCTCCCTGGGTGCACCAGCTCTCCCCTTCATCTCTGGGGTCCCCAGCATTGCTGGCCAGGCACGGGGAGCTGGGGAGAGCCTCTTCTCTGTGAGGAGGGCACAGAACACAACACTGGGCTCAAAGGCTCCTGTCCCCTTCCCAAAATGCTGGGCTCTGCCAATGGACCGTGAGCTGAAGGGGGCCAAGAGGCCTCAGCTCCCAGCAAGGAGGCAATTCCCCACTGTTTAGATGCCAATGCCTGACAGCATGAACTCTTTCCAATGGGAACCGGTAAAGGTTACACCAGCAGGGAATCACTAAGATGCAGAAGCCAAATGAAAACTCAGACATCTGTAGGTCATATACCTCCCGCCGGCAGTCCCAGGCTGCACCGCACAGCCGGACCCGGCATTTCAAGAATGCTTCCTGAAGAAATGCTTATTCATGTTAATACCTCACCACTGAGAGCTCCCAGGGTTTGCTGCTGGGGCAGCTGGGAGCACTGCTCCCTGCCAAGGGAAAAGCAGCTGCAGGCTTAGAGCTCCCCAGCACAGAGGTTGCCTCCACCTCAGCTCTGGCTCCCACCACACCAGCTCAGACAGTCCCAGAAGCCCACCCACCCCCCGGGATCTGCTGTGGGATTCACTTCACCATGAGCAAGGCAAATGCTGTTTCCAGAATGAAGAAGTAGCTGTTACCTCAGCAAACCACCAGCCAGCCCACCACAACGCTGGCTTTGAGAGGAGGAAGCTCCACTCCCTGCTGTTAATGACACCAAGAACATGCCCCAGAGCCATGGCTCTGCTTGAAGAACAAGCTTGGATGACATTAGATTTCCAAAGGCTCTTGGAAAAACAGGTCTTTTACATAACATCCAGGGAGAAGGAGAAAAAGGAGGGATGGAGAAAGACATATCTGAGCACAAACTGTGTCAACACGGTGCGTTGGCCCTCTTGGGACAGTGTTTAGAGCACAGAAGGCAAGACCACACACCCCTTTATTCTCCCTGCAAGGGGTAGGACAAGCTCTAGCATATACATTGCAGGGAGCTGCGCTCCAGCTTGACCAGCTCCACTGCCAGCCTGGAGCAAGGGAAGGCTTGGGCAGCCAGCCCCAGCACAGAGAGGTGATCTTACCCATCCGCCATTCTCCTGGATCCAGGGATCCAAGTGGTCGGTCAAGTACGTGGTCATCCAAGACACGATGCGTTTCACCAATACCCTCATCTCCTTAACAACGCTCTCCACGCACAAGGCTCCTCCGAAGGAGAAGAAAGCCACGATGCGGCCCCAGTTCACTCCATCGCGGAACAGTTCGTTCACTACCTGCTCAAAGCTCTGATACGCTGTGCTGGGAGTGATGTGGAGCTGGGAAGTGAGGTCGCTGAACGCCCGCCGGTACCTCAGCTCAAACTCATCCCCTGCCTCTCTCAGCGCCTGCCTCACATCGGCTGCTCGACGGATCTCATGGACTTCGAGGCTGCTCTGGTGCACAGTGGCTCCATTCACTATGTGGCTGGTGGCCGCGTGCCAGGAGGGGCTCCCGTTGAGGACCCCGTCCATCTCGTCCTCCTCCCCTGCAAAGTCAGTCCTGTTCTCATCCTCCTCTTCCAGCTGACTCCAGCTGTATCCTTTCTGTGAGAGCTTGTAGGAAACAAAGTCAATCACTAACTCCCGGTTACTGCTGTACATTTTCACACCTGGGACGCCCTCAATGAGTCCATGGTCCGGAGCACAAGCAGATCAGCACTTAGCAGGTCCCGACTCCACTCCTCTTCCTCGCGACCGATGGAAGCATCTGACCTTAGCACAGATGAGGAGAGAGGCACCGAAACGGTTAATGCCACAGCTCTTAGATGCACCCGCGCCATTACCACCGATAGCTTATCGTTATACTGAGATCACCCCGCAGCTCTACGCCGAGGCTCAGGGCCACCAGATTGAAGCTGCACAGAGAACCGACCACAACCAACCCCCTTCCCCGGAAAGCAGCCTTGAGCCCCGGGGACCCCCCACAAGCTCGTTCCGAGCAGACCCCAGATCTCACCGGGTGCGGGCTGCGCCTGGCAGGCCGGCTGCGGGCCGGGGCGGAGGCGGTTCTTGTTCTGCTGGAGCTTCGGGTCGGCCCGGAACGCGACAGCACCGCCCCCGCCTCGCCCCGCCCGTTAAAGGGCCCGGCGCCCCCGCCCCCTCCGCCGGCGTTAGCCACGGCAGCGGGCGGGCAGCGCTACCCAAGGATCACGGCAGCCCCGGGGCGGCCCGGTTTGATGGTCACCGCAGCCCCCCGCCGCCCCGAAGCCCCTCTCCCCTCGCAGGCGGAGAGCATAAACCGCTGAAAGCCGGCGAGCGCTCGGCACCGCGGGAGCCGCCGCACGGCCTCGCGTCCCTACGGGAGCGATTCCAGTCACGGTTAGCGGCGCGTAGCCGCTGGGGCCGGGACGGTGACACGCCGGGCAGCGGCAGGCGGGAGCGCCGCAGGGGGTACCCGGTCCTCCCGAGCAGCAGACTGCCCCCCACCCCCCCACCGGACCGCGTCCCCCGGAGCCCCGCACCGCCCCCCCGGAGCCCCGCACCGCCCCCCCGGCCCCGGGACGGCCCCACCGGTCGCCGTACCTGGGGGGCGGGGCCGCGCACGAGGGCCGACAGGGCGCCCGCGCGGCCGACACGCCAGCCAATCAGCGGCCGCGAGGGGCGGGGCCCGGCCGCGGCCGCTCCCTTTGGCCGAGCCGCGCGTCACTCAAGCTTCACCCTACCCCGCCCCTCACCTCAGCGCCCGACTGAGGGTCCGCGTCCTTCCCGGCTCTGCTGGGCGGGCCCGGCTGGCAGCGACGCCGGAGGTCGCCGGGAGCCCCGCCGGGGCTCGGCCCGCTCAGCAGTCCCCGGATCCTTTCCACATCGCCCGCCGAGCGGCCGGGGGGGTGCGGTAGGGTGGGAGGGGGCAGCAGAGGGGCGATGCGCATGCGCACAGCGCCCTGAGGCTGGGCGAAGAGCGTCGGTTGGACTGCGCGGGGGCACGGCGCGCACGCGCCACGCCGGCTGGGCCGGTGCGCATGCGCGAATGTGCCGGGCGGAGGGCGGAGCTCCGGCGCCCCCTGCCGGCCGCGGCGGTGGCAGCTCGGGCCTCCGCTCTCGCCGCGCCCTGCGGACACGGCCCTGCCGCTGACACGGCTGCAAACCCCTCAGAGCACTCCGGGATTAACGTGGGGTGTTTTGTGTCTCCACAGTGCTCAGGGAGCCCGTGCTGGGATTGTGAGGGGAGGTTTATGGGGGTAGTGCCGAAGCTGTGAAAGCGACTGTGGCAGCAGGGGCCTGCCCCGCCGTTAACAGCTGGCTACCCATCCCTCTGCAGCACTGCGGGGAAGATTATGCACTACTTGGGGTCGAAAACGCCACTGCGCAAATGGCACTTTGTCCTCACAGCATCGAGAAACCTAGCCGGGCTTACCAGACGGCGGAAGCCGCCTTTCCCGGGCCCAGCAGTCCGAAGGCTGATCTGCTGAGGAACAGCGGGTGGAAGCCGGGCAGCGGACACTGATACAGCCGCCGTACCTGAGCCCGGCTCCGGCAGGCTCCTGCCCGGCCCCGCGGCCGTACCGGCTGACACTGGCTCCGGGGTCCCGCCCGCCAGTCACTGATAGGCCACCCGGAACGACACTCAAGGCATCGCCTTTTCTGATTGGTCTACTAGGTCCCGCAGTGCGTTATGTGAGTTGTGGTTCGGTTCTCGCCCGGTCATTGTGGCGCTGTGCAAGCACGTACTACATTTCCCGTCAGACTTTGCAGGGAGAGCGCAACTGCGTTGCTTGGGGTCTGATTATCCGGGTCCTGAAGGGGTCCAGCCAATCAGCGCGCCTCAAAGGGCGTGTGCCGGGCGCTGATTGGTGAGTTCGGACTGCGGGGTCCTGTTTGAAATCCGTTAACGGCGGCGGCAGAGGCGCCGCGCGGAGTGGCGGCGGCGCTGCTGAGGTGAGTGCGGGGCGCCGGCCGGGCACCCCCGGCCTCGCCTCTCCTTCCCAACCCGCAGCCCTTCTCCATATCTGGTCGTTCTCTCGCTGCGGCTGTTCCCCAGGCCTACTCCGAGCCCAGGTATTGGTAACGGGGCCGAGGGCTCGGCTGGGAAACGGCGGCGAAAGGCGGCTCCGGGCGCTCAGCCCGTGGCCGGAGCCGCTATCGCGGCCTGGCGGGCGGGCTCGTAACGGAGCCCCGGGGGCTGGTTACGAACACCGTGTTGTCCGGGGAAGCCGAGCCCGGTGCCCCCGGGCGGCAGCGGGAGGAGCCGCCGTGGCGGGCGGTTCCCGTTCCCCTGGCGGGGATCGCGGTACCGGAGCTCCCGGCGTGTGCCTTACGGTGGGGTGGGTGCCTCGGCAGTGAAATAAAGTTCTAAGTTTTTCAACAGTCACGCAATCTGATGAAACAGTGTATTTCACGGCGGAAAGCTCTGTAATGTCTCAGTCCAAATCCCCCTTCCCAGGAAAAGGAGGGAAGCAAACCAGGCAAAACCTGGCCCAAGTATCAGAAAAAAACATTCGGGGTACTATTTTTATCTGGGGCTTTTTTTAAGCTTGAAGACCTTCAACTTAATGTAACAATTAGTTGAGGTTATGGTAGCTAAAAATAATTTTATTTTCCCTGAACGTCTATTCTTAGAATGTACCATCTTTATGTCTTCTGAAACTTGTGGGATCTTTTTTAGGGAGCACGAGATGTCAGGGCTGTTTATTTTTGGGAATGGGGGCGGGTCTGGGCCGTTAGCAGAGCAAACTTGGCTGCCGGTCGGGGTGGTCTGCGGAGCTTTCTGCGGGCTCAGCTCTCACCTGAGGAGAGTTAAAGGCCTTTTCTCCCAGTTTGAGCATTAAATGATGGAACAGCAGCGTTCTGGGGGGTAGTGAATCCATTGCTGATTGTGTGCTGCAGAAAAGCCTAGTTGAACTTTGAGTAAGGGGCACAAGAGAGGAGGGAGAAGCTGTAGATCCAGAGTGTGTTGGAAGGGTTCACTTCCACCCTGCTCAGGGAAAAGCAAGGATGAAGGGTGACTTTCTGAGGCTGTCAGTGTCACGCAGAGGGAGTTCAGATGATGGCTTTGTGGTGGGATGGTTCTCGCTAGGCTGTTGTAAATCCATTTCTAATGCTCCAACTTACATGTTAAACCCTGGAAAGCATCCAAGACCTTTGGATTATTATCCCAATAAAAAGAACAGAAAACTCTAAGGTGCAGGACAATGAAGAAGCTGCCAGGCTGAATTAAAGCTGCCTGGTTAGTGCAGCCTCCTCTGTTTAAGTGGCAGCTGGTGTTGAAGCCCAGCAGAAGGCCCTGGAATTGCTGGAGCACATTCCCATGCAGCTGCCTCGGCCTTGGGGAAGCTTCTCTTGTTCATTCCTGGTTTCCTCTATTGGGTTCTGAGGCATGTGGATCGGCTGCCTTTGTGTTTATCTGCTGATGTAACTTAGACTAGCTTCTTGTGTGTTTGTTATTGTTTATTGTGCTTTCTGATCCTGTTAGGATTTGCCATAAGTAACATCTGTCACTTGTGAAGTTCCAGTGGTGTGTGGTGATAAGGCATCATCTCCAGTTCACCAGGGCCTTATCTACATTGCAAGGTGGCAAGAAAGAGCAGAACTCTGCCTTCCTCAGGATCCAGACTGAGTTGGGTTGGAAGGGACCTTAAAGCTCATCTTGTTCCAAACCCCCATCACCATTCTGGGCAGAGACACTGGACCAGCCCTATCCAACCTGGCCTTTAACACTTCCAAGGACAGCCACAGCTTCTCTGGGCAACCCTTGCCAGAGCCTTACCACCCTTACAGGGAAGAATTTCTCCCTAATATCCAATCTAAACCTCTCCTCTTTTAGTTTGAAGCCATTCCCACTTGTCTTATTGCAACCTTTTGGTGTCCCTATCACTATCCTGTCCTTGCTACTCTCCCACACTCCATTTTCTCTCCCTCTGACCTTGATTTCTCATGTTGGAATGCTGCATCCTATCTCCAACCATGGCCTGAATGGCTAGGAGGCTTCTTTGTCCAGGCAGATTGTGCTGTTGGAACAAAATTCACAATTTCAGTGAGACAAACACACTGAACACATCTGTGATGGAATTGTGTCAGAATTTTAAAGCTAATTTGGATTACAGCGAGGTGTGAAGTTATTCCAAAATACCTATTGCACTTGCTGTTGGATCAGTCTTATTCTGGGATAGGAATGCTTGTTCCAATTTACTGTAATCCTTTTTCAAAGCTAACTAATCTAAACCATGCCAAGGCACTCTTCTGGAACGTGCCAAAGTGTAGTTACTCAAAAGAAACCTGATGTCTAGAGGAACCCACTGCCTATTCCTCCCTGTGGATACAGCTGTGCTGCTCTGGAGGCACTTTTAGGTCAGTGAGAGAGGAGACCTAGAAAGAAAATGAAGATTTTAATTAAGTAGTCACTTTATAGAAGGAATTTGGGGTCTTTTTGCAGGCGAGAAGATCAGATCTTCCTTTCCTGCCTCAGCAGCTCTGCAAACCAGGTGAAAGCCGATCCTGCAGAACGGGGGTGAGGGTTCCCCGGCTGGCTCGCTGCAGACACCCGTGTCGACACAGGAGGTGATGGATGTGGGGGAGAGCAAGGTCATGCTTTAAGTCCACGCCGAGCTGTGTAGGATTACAGCGTGCCTGTAATCACGCCTGGGAAATGCACACAGTGCCTGCTAATTAGGGAAAGTCCCTATTAATGAGGAAAAATTTCCACGCCTCCTTTCCGGTGGATGAGTGCTGCAGTGGAGAGAAAGAATTTTGGATTGAGATAAATGTGGTTGAGCTGTCAAAATCACAACTGTGTGTTTTAAAATGCCTGCAGGGAGTGGGCAGCGGGTGTTGGGCTGTGCTTGGCAGAGCCTGTTGGCATTGCAGATACCTCATGGTGGGCACAGGAGTGATAAATCACCGGGGCATTCCTGGCTGATCCTGTCCCAGCCTGAGTCGGTGGGTGGAGGAGCAGGATGCCTCTCAGTGAGCTGCTGCTTCACCCTCAGTCCTGTTCCGGGCAGGACTTGGAGGATATGTGGGGATTTCAGAAGCAGATGTCATGAGTTCATCTGACTGAATGAACTTTCTGGAGCGCAGTCACAATAACTGTTATCTCCCAGTTGTCTCTTTCAAGAAACAGAGTATGAAACTGAGGCAGCAATACAATCCTTTTCTTTTCCTGACTATTCTCTTCTGTCTGGGATAGAGGGGAGAGAGAGTGGTCAGCAATGAGGTCGATGATGAGGGTGGTGACACTGTGGAATATGGGCTCTACTCAGTAAAAAGCTGCAAACTGCAGCAATGTAGCAGTGGGCACAAGTAGCTGTGAAACATGATGCCCAGAGCTCTGACTCTGACTGGAGAGGGTGAGGGGAGAATGCAGATGACGCATTTGATTTTTAAAAAAGTCTAAAGTGTTGACAGAAATTCTATCTTGATTAAGGGCGGTAGGAAAGCATTTGATTCCAGCCATGTCTCGAGCTCAGTTACAGTTGGTTTTGGCTCTAATTCTTCTGTTTGCCTTCTTTGGGCCCTACTTTGACATCTTCCCAGCCATGTAGCTGGTGCTTCTCTAATGACATTCTTGCCTTTAACTATCACAGCTCTGTTCTGAGGAGCTGGAGACCTCTCCGTGCACCCATCCTTGGGGGCCAGTGGTTGTGACCAACATGGTACCCCCCTAAACACTGCTTTGGTTTACACTCGGTCATTTTCTTATTTATTGAGGAGCACCATCTGGGTTTTGAACCATGTGTGGTCTGCCTAGACAGATGGTTTAGGGCTGAGGCTCTGTGGGTTAGGAATATGCTGCTTTGGAATTGCTTGGTTTCATAAAAGCAAAGTTCAGGTGATTTCCTTGGGGAGTGTTTTATAACATCCTCATGGGCTTTGCCTCACAGCTGTTCAAGGCATCACAAAAGCACCTTTGCAAGAAGGTTTTGTATAATTTCAGGGTTTATAACTTTGTCACTGGCTTTATTCCTGTTCTGTTGAGTTTAATATCACCTGTTGACACAGGGACTCCTCTTGCTGTCAGTGCTTCATTAATTAACTGCAGGGACTGTTTGACATGGATCACAGTGCTCAGTTTGTTTATAGCCTGGCCAGCCTTGGGCTAGTGCTAAGGAATGCAAGAGGGCCTGACACTGCCCTCCTTCTGACTGTTTGCCCAGTAATAATGTTCTACAGAACTCTCTTCCTGCTTTGAAAAATCAATTTATTATATAGAAGAGCACCTTTGTGTTATTAGTTCTTGTTTGTGGGCCCTTCAGAGAGAGAGAGGCTGTACATTGCAGTGCTCTGGAGGGAATTTTGTGAGGGTAAGAACTCTTCTTGTGCACCGTGAGGGAAGAAAGTGCAAATCAGTCACTCTCTGAAAAAGCTTTATACTTTACTCCTTAAAAAATATAACTCTAGCATATACAGGTACTAAAAAAATCCTGTTAAAACTTGATCTTTCTGACAGTTTTGAACCTGGAAACATCAACAGTGGTGAAATATCCTTAGCTTTGCAGATCAGCAGTAGAATAAAACTCTACATTGCTCATGAGGGGTTCTCCCCAAAAGTGTGAAGTGCAAGAAGGGGGGATGTCCCAAAGGCTGTCCCCAATGCCTGTCCCTAGAAACTCTGCAGAGGAAGAGAGGTGGGGGATGATTCCACTGATTCCCTATTGTTGTCTAAAGGGCTGTAGCAGTGCAGACAGAGGACTCTTGGGGACAGTGTGACTGTGAAGATGTCTAAGCCAGAATCCCGTTATTCTTTTGATGTCCCAAACATCTGCATCAATTTTGCAACTCTGAATGAGGATGATGCGCACAATGCAGACTCTTGGTTTGGTAAGTTGCTTCCAACTCCTTATTTCCTTGTTGGATGACACCTTAGTGTGATCCTTGTTTTGGGCCTGGCTTCTGTGCATTTAATCATGATGTTAACTGCATCATTCATCATGCATGGGGTTTCTTTTGTTGTTGGTTTTTTGGGGTTTTTTTTGTATTTCATTTTTGTCATCTGTAACTTGCCTTTGTTAACCTCATAATAATGATGTTCTGGGGTATTCCTAATGGTGTGTATAGTGAAAGTTTTCTCTCCTTACAGACGAAAAAGCCAATCTGGAGAATGTCCCTCCTGCAGAAAATCTGGCAAAGGTCTCACACTTCAGCCCTGCTTCTTCAAAGCCTGATGTTATTCTTTCTTCTGTCCCATCACAAGAAGTAGCAATGAGTAAGCTGGCACAGTGGGGCAGGGAGGGAATAAATTTTACCTGCTTTTCGCTGGCAAAATGAAAAGGCCTCTGTCTGGCTTTTGTGGGATTTCATAAACTTTCACCTGCAAGGTCTCATGTGGTTTTACTTGTTGTTCTGTATATGTATATACAGATGAGCTGACACCTGCCCCTTTCTCAGGTGAAAGCAATGGTGAAGCAGAATGTGCCCAGGGCAACACGGTCCCTCAGAACATTGTTGGGTCCCTGGCAACCTGGAGAGCTGCTGCCCCTGCAGAGGCCCCTCAGAGGTGAAATATTTGTGTTCAGTTTGTACAATGATTGATGATGGTGTAACTAAGCAGCTCCTTGCTCTCAGGATCTGCAGGTCTAAGCTGTTCTTGGGGCATCCTGTGGGGCTGGAGTTCTCCAACATGGAGATCGTGCATTGGGACATCTGATCTGCTGGCTAGGCTGGAGGGGCAGTCTCTAGGGTGGAAATGTAATGCAGTGTCTCACATACTTGTCAAATGAGACTCGGCAGCGCCAGGAGCTTCTGGAATGTGAGGATATCTGAAACTGAGATGGCTTATAAAGTTTCTTTGTTTATATCTGCCTGACTTGGGCAGAACTCATTCTTGATACGAATACAAGTTCTGCATGCTCATATATAGCAAAGAATATTTAGTTTATGGATTGTTAAACTTTAATGAATTGTGCTGTGTTTGGATTGTTGTGTTAAACACAATTTATGTGGTGGAGTTAGGGGACGCATTGACATAAATGTGTTATCCAGGTCAGGTGTGTCCTCAGATCTGTGGGAAAATTGACCTCTGCTTTCTGTTCTACTCTAGACCGGGCAGGAGATTGGCTACAAAGCAGGGGAAGACCCAGCAGCGCAAGCAGCCAGGCAGAATCAAAGCAAAGGAAATTGCCAATGCCCTGGATAATAAAGAAGATGTTCCACCCTTGAAGAAAATGAGACTGTATGTCATCCAAGTCCTTCTGTTTAGGGCTGGGAAAAAGGATACCCTTTGGAAAGAGTTTCCACCTGGCTGAGAAGGTTCTTACAGGAAGGTTAGGGGGTGGTGGCTGAAACTGGTTGCTGATACTGATTTCATGAACACAAAATGGCTGTAAATGCTGAAGGAATTGCTCTGTTTGGAGGTGGAGATGTGAATGAAATAAGCATGGCCTTCTTCACCTTCTTACTTCTTACTCAGTGTCTGTCAGCTTTAAATTTGTCTGAACTTACCCATCAGGAAGTCATCAGGCAGTCATTAGCTATGAAAGAGTCACAGCTAAAATATTTCTCAAATTAATGAGGTCAGGAAATTAAAGTGTGATCTTTGAAACACTGCTGTATCTCGATGATCTTCAGTGTACCTCCCTCCTCCAAAAAAGTTCCAAAAACTCAGTAATTCATCTTTCCTTCTGCAGCCTTAGAGTACCAGAGAAAGCTAGATGGGCTATACCTGGGCGTGGGGTGAGGTAAGGCCAGCCTGGCATACCTTAGACCTCACCAGGTGTTGGGATGTTGTGCATGGTGGTGAGAGCTGCAGGTGGTGGTTTATTTAGAATACAGTTAATTCGAGGGGTTTGCCCTAACACCTTTTTCCTCTTAGTTCTGGTAGCAGAGAGAAGGCGACAGAAGCATCCACAAAGAAAGAGCCCCTGCAGGATCCTGACCTCTCCCCAGGGAGAGGGAAAAGCAAACAGACCATGCCCTGCACGCCAACAATGTTAAAGTACGTGGCTTTCTTGTGACTTGTGTGCTAATCACAGTTGATTTAGGTGACAGTCCTGGCTGAGTGTTTTCAGCTTCAACTTAGCATGTGATGGTATCACATTTAGTAAACACTGGGTCAAGGCAACAATATTAGGATGAAATGTACTTCACCAGCTGAACCTGTGCAGAGGAAAGCTTTTGATGTTCTTTTGAGGAAAAAGTTGTTCTTCCTGATGGATTGAGAATGCACACAGCAAGTGGGTCTGCAGAATAGCAGCTAGCTGTGAGATTTCTTGAACAAACAAAACCCAAGCAGATCTCTTCTAAAGAGGATGTTTTTATAACCAGTGATGCTCCTGCAATGAGGCTGGAGGATAAGCATGTTCCTTGCAGAAACATCATGCTAATAACCAGGGAAGTAGGAAGCCATATCTTAGTTTTTAATGTGCTTTTGCAGGAGGACCAAACCTCCTAGCAAGCTGAAGAGTACAGAGGAGCAGGAGGTGGAAAAGATGCAGCAGTTACAGCAGGAGGTTATGGAGCTGCGAAAGAAGAACGAGGAGTCTCTGAAAGCTGCTATTGCTGGAGCAGGTGGGCTCTGCCTGAATTGCCAAATGAAGCTGCATTAGGCTCAGCTGAAAGTGCTGTACATTGCTGTGCAAGTACCTTTGAAACAAGCATTTCAGACTTTGCAATAAATATTAGGAGCCATTTAATGTAGATCAGCCTCTAAACTGCCTGGAAACAGGTGGGTTTGGGTTATGTCATGTTTTGAAATGTTAAAGATGAGCTCTCTAAAAATTTACCTAGTTGTTAGAAATTAAATGCTTTTTTTTTTAATTTCCACAAATCCTACCCCACAGCAAAAGGCTTCTAGTGCTTATATGTTATTTTCCTCTAGGACAACCCATGAAGAAACCTGTTGGTCAAGTAACAAAGCCAATTGATTTCCACTTCTGCACAGAGACTAGAATTAAACAGAATGTAGAAAGCCAGCCTGCCAACGAGTACAAGGAGCTGGATTTTGCAGCAGTCTTGAGGAAGCACCCCCCTTCTCCGGTGAGAGCCAGAGCACTGCCAGCACTCAGCTCGCTGATCCTTGCCACTATTTCCCTGCTGCTTGTGCAGTGCTTGGGTTGATACCCACAGAGAGGTTACCACAGGAGAGGCAGGTGTTGTGCAAATGTGACTGCAGACTTCCTGTGTGTCTGTGTTGCCATAAAACTCCAAAGAAACCTTGTGGGAAAAGGAGCCCTATAATGTCAGATTTTCCAGTCATTCCACTTTGTGGTTTAATCTGCTCGATACAGTTTCCCAATATAACTTGTGCATTTTCAGACTGTTAACACTTGTGCTTAATGTGAGGTGTTATCTTCTTTGCAGTGAGAGGAAGGGACAGATACTGTGCGTCAGTGGGGAGAGGAAATGTCATCAAAACCTCCTGGCCATACTGACTGTGGTTTTATGTCTTCAGGTGCGAATGCCAAAGGGACACACTGTCCCCAAGCCTTTCAATCTGTCCCAGGGAAACAAAAGAAAACTTGAAGAAGCCACAACAGAATACGTGTCCTTTGCTGAGCAGGTAGAAGCATTCCAAAAACGCACACCCCCTCGTTACCATTTGAGGAGCAGGAAATCTGAGGAGGGTGAGTTGTCCTGGCTGTGTCCACAGACATGGTGGTAGAGCAAGAGATGCTTTGACTACACTCAGCACATGGCCTGTGTCTGTTGCAGGCCTTGCCATTAACTGCTGGTCTGTGTGACTTGAATTTCTAGGCTCAGTTTCAAGAAAGCCGGTGAAGGCTCGGCTCACACACCCCAAAACACCAGTGCTGCGAACAAAGCAGCGCTTGAGACCTGTCACCTGCAAAACTGCTGCAGAGTTAGAAGAAGAGGAAGTAGAGAAAATTCAACAGTAAGTAAGGGCTTACTCTAGTCCTCCAGGGGATGATTGTACCACACTGGAAATATTTTTCAGGTACCAAAATGCCACTTCTCTGGAATACCCTTTTTGTGTGAAAGAATGAGTAGCATATACCATTGAGGTTCCTTTAGGTTGTTCATAATTATTTAGTTCTGATTTTAGGGAAGTGAAATATAAACAATTTTTAAGAACGTACTCTTAGGAGAGCTGATCTTGGGTTGAGTACAACTTACAATGAGTAAAGCAAACCCAGTATAGAAATGCAGCCTGCGTGCACTTCAAAACTTGCCATGTAGACAAAGGTTTGGATTTCTAGGAAAACAATCCGTAAGATTTTCCTTATTAATCTTGTTGTTTTGAAGGCAAAGGAAGAATTGCTAACTATAGCTGCACAATAATGTACAATTGGTGACTGTCTCCATTGTTCCTCCATAGGTACAAATTCAAAGCACGAGAAATCAATCACAAAATCTTTGAGAGTGGGCCACTCCTGCCCAGTAAACCCCCTGTGAAGAAGCTCACCCAACCCATTGGCTTTCAATTGGAAATAGAAAAAAGGATTCAGGAGCGTGAGAGCAAGAAGCAGCAGGAGGAAGAGCGCTTTGAATTCCATTCCAGGCCATGTCCCACAAAAATCCTGGAGGATGTTGTGGTAAGAAATTTAATAACACCCAGGCTTGGGAGTTGGTGGCAATAAGATTCAAAATGCTTGTAGCTATGTTGTATTATGTGTTCAATGATCTCGGTAAATAGTGTGTGTGATTAGGTAAGAACCGCAGTAGGTACATCCTGTGCTGTCAGGTTGTTTCTCTGAGGCGTTTTCTTGGCGCTTGGCCTTGGGTAACTCCTTACTGGCTTTTCTGAACAGGGTGTTCCAGAGAAGAAAGCACTTCCTGTTACTGTCCCCAAGTCTCCAGCCTTTACCTTGAGGAGCAGGACCCGTGTGTCTGGCAGAGAGGAAGAAAAGGTAACAGTTGTGATGAGGCTGGAGCCAGGCCCAGTTCTCACTGCAGTGCCTGCCGTGCTTCTGGATGTGGGTGGGATGCTCTGGGGCTGGAAGCCTCTTCCTTCCCCCCTGTGAGCAGTTCCTCCAGTGGTTACCTTTGTCTGTGCTATTCACTTGAAACAATCTGGTTATTGCTACTCATTTTACAGAAACTGAATTCTCATATGAAATCATTTAAATGCTAGGGCACTGATGAGGGTTTCTGAGGTGTTGCTGCTATAAATGAGGAAGGTGAACTGCTCAGATTTCTCACTCTTCTGTCACTGAAGGCAGATATTGCACATGATCTTCTCCCTAAGGTGGAGAGCAGGATTCTGAAAGCTTCACAACCTTCTTCTTTCCTTCTTGTCAAGAGAATATTAAATAATTACAGTATAATTTGAATGAGTACTAGAATTGAGAGTGGTTTCAAAAAAGGAAGTATTGGACCTATAGTTCAGGGTGCCAGTCAATTGATACTTCTTGGTTTTCTAATTTTTGTAGTGTCCACTGTTTGTAAGAATCTGCTGTGCCCCTTATTAAAGGACCTCATTCAAAGCTCTTTGTGGCTTTGCTTGGCAGGAGTTGCAGCCTATGCCAAAGTAAAAAAGCAGATCCTAATGCTAATATCCCTTTAGGAAAAAGAGGAGGTGGCTGTGATCAAAGCTAATCCTATGCCACATTATGGAGTGCCATTCAAACCCAAAATGCCAGAGCAGAGGCATGTGGAAGTTTGCCCCTTCTCTTTTGATGCACGGGACAGAGAACGACAAATACAAAAAGAGAAAAAAATAGAAGAACTACAGAAGGAAGAGGTAAGAGTAAAAAGCTACCTTGGATTCCACTCCTTCAGTAAAAAAGTGTGATAGGATTTGCTGTTGTCTATTAAACCTCCAAGGAAAGGACAAGAAATATTTTGAGTTGTTTATTTCAGGTGCCAAAGTTCAAAGCGCTGCCTCTGCCTTACTTTGACCAAGTTAAACTGCCAGAAAAGAAGGTCAAAACACCAACTCAGCCTGAGCCATTCCATCTGCAGGTGGATGAACGGGGAGCTGCCAAGCTCCAGAGCTGGAAACAGCAGGTAGGATGAAAAGGATAATGGGAATGACCAGACTTAAATCAACTGGTGGAGTTATGGTTGACTAGAGAAACTGTCCTCCTTGAATTGAATTGGTCGCTGAGTTGGAGCAAGGAATTTTTCTCTACTTAACATGAGACTTGCGCTATAGGTTAAGGATTGGTCAATGGTTTGTTTTTTTCTCACTTTATGGTAAATGATGGGATTTACCACAACTGTATGAACAGCTGTGGGGTATTTTCTGAGTAGCAGCTCTGTGCAGCTGAATCCCTTTGCTAACTATCTCCAGGAATTTATTGACACATAAATATACTCTTTTGCTCATGTGAAGTCTGCAGTGGACACCTGAAACTTTCTTCAGGATATTTCTGGCAAAGCAACAGTCAGGCAATAAGTGACACCAATTTTTGGCTTTAATATAATTTTCTATGGAAATTATTCACGTCAGCATGGCTTTTCCTGTGTAGGGAGTGCTGGAGTCTGGGTCACAGGGAGATGGTCTCTTTCTGCCTGGCACTTGACATGCTCTCTTCTCTTGCAGCTTAAAGAAGACATGAAAAGGCAGAAAGAGGCAGCATGTTTTAAAGCTCGTCCCAACACAGTGATGTACCAGGAGCCTTTTGTGCCCAAAAAGGAACATAAGATGCTGTCAGGTACAGTTGCAAGTACTTGCTATGTGGGCTTGGCTGATAGCTCACAACTGATGCAATTAAGTGATGTTTTTTCTGGCTGTTGCCTCTTCTTCATCAGCACAGCCAATAATGCCTTGCATTTAATCGACTAATTGCCTAACAGCTTGTGTCCCCTGGGAGCAAGGGGATTTCCTCTCCACCCCCTGTCCTGCTCCAGCATGGCAGCTGTATTTAGAAGCTGTGCTGCAATTGGCAGATGATTGATGTGTGCCAGCTCAGGATAAGGGTACTGAGAATGTGAGGAGCTCCCTGCAGAGACAGCTGGCATTTCTGCAGTGCTGTCACTCTTTCCCTCCCATTTCTAGTGAGATGAAGGCATCTACTGCTTGGGTAGGCTAAGATTTGTAGAGCATAAAACCAGCCAAAAGCATGTTTGTTCTAACAATTGTGTGCTTGCTCCCTCCCATGAGAACACCCATGATGGGGTGACGTCTGCATTAACACTGCTCACGTCTGGGAGTAAAGTTTTCTCTTTTCCTGAAGCCTGGAGGTATCTCCTAACCACCCTTGCCAAGAGGAAGCTCTCCAAAGGGAGGCTTCCATCGACATTTGTGCTGCTCTGCTTTACCTGACTGTCTTTGAAACGATGTTATCTCCTCTATTTCTAAACTTAGAGAGCCTTTCTGGTTCTGTAGTTCCTGAAAGCTTTGAGCTAGCAACAGAAAGAAGAGCAAAAGAACGGCAAGAATTTGAAAAGCGATTGGCAGACGCAGAAGCCTTAAGGGAGAGGCATGAGGAGCAGATCAGGCAGCAGCAAGAGGAGCGTGAAAAGGAAGAAGTTGCTAAGCTAAGACAAGAAATGGTAAGTGAGCTGTTTCTGAGCAAGGGCTATAAAGTAACCCAAAGGAATGTGGGAATATCCTTATGGAGCTAATGTCACAGTTGAACTGTGCTAAAACTGCCTTTTCAAGATTCTCTTTGTAAATTGATGACTCACTAAATTCACAACTGGTTTAAAAAAAAAAGCAGACCTACAAAACTATGCAAACAAAGAAAGCAGCTGTGCTGAGTTGGCTGAGTTTTGGAGATGCACATGTGTAGCTATCAAAGCAGAATGATCTCAGTAAAACCCACAACCCCAACATGTGCTGTGTATTTTCCCACTACCTCACTCCAGTGCCCAGGGTGGTCTCAAGCAGATGCCTGCCTTCACCTCATCCACAGCTCACCTGCAAATTTCAGCTTTATTATAACTGCAACAATTTGCTTTGTTTTGCCCTTACTTATATTTATTTTTCCACAGGTTCACAAGGCAAACCCAATACGCAAATACCGCAGCCTAGAAGTGAAGCCCAGTCATCAACCACTGACTATGCCAAAGTCTCCCAACTTCTCAGACAGATTCCGATGCTGATGAGCATCCACATGACAGCTGGTGGGAGATCCCATCCCTCTCCCTTGGTAGGAGAGAGGGAGCAACTTTTTTCCATGACTGCTCAGTCTGAACTCCTGTGCTTGGTTTTGCTGTTATACCGAGTAGTTAAACTTCACCTGAGCCCATGGCATTTCAGCAGTGCCTCCTGGCCTTGCTGTGTATCCAGACCCCATCTTCTCTAGAGACTAAACCAACATATTTTGTACCTAACTAAATAAAAATTCCTAATCTGTTTGCTGTCTCTGGCTAGTGGGCTGAAGCCCTTTCCTGCAGAAGAGTTTTTGATAAAGACTGCCCACACAGATGTGTGCATCTGGCAGAGCTGTCTTGTATTTTTACACTAAGTGCTATTTTCAAGTGTCTGTTTTTTACTCTTTTAATCTATATTTAGCTTGAATTGTGTTAAGTGAGGTCCCTTCAAGCCAGTGTAGCGTGGGTCTGGCCTTCCTTGTTAATGTTTAGATGACTACAAATATAAATCTTGCCCACGCTTAAAAGTAGTTATTTGTGTATATTAGAGGATTAAACCATCTTGCTGTTTTATAGCTGAAGTCCTTCTGTTTGGGGAACAATTTATCTGGCAAGTGACTTGCTGTGAGCTGCTGCCATAGCTTCTGCCAATGCAGGTCTCTTGGCTACAGAGCCATCAGCATCTCTGGCTAGTTTGGGCAGCGAGCAGAGCTAAATATAGCCCAAGGGCTCAAATGTGCTGGAGGACAAAACTGCTGGCCTTGTGAAGAGTGGACACATCTAGATTAAAGTTTTAATAATTATTTCTTACTTAGTACTGTGCTCTGATTTCTTACCTTTATATTTTGCTGAAACACATGAGCAGGGCTGCTTGCTGTGGTTGTGCTGCTTAGTAGAGAAGGGGAAAGAGAAATTTAGAATTAATTTGTCCTAACTGGATAAACTTTCTTGTTTGCTGGTTATGGAAAACATTTGCTTTCATTTCTTCTGAATTGTGATACTGTTGAAGAAGTTATTCCCAGAGTGTGTAGCTTTTTGTTTAGATTTTTGGGTGAAAAGGAGAGTTCAAACTAGAATCTAGCACCTGGTTCAAACTAGGTGTTAGATTCCACCTAAGGGGGTGCTTAGAGATGCTACCTCATTCTTGCCAAAGTACGTCAAGCAATCACTATTTTACTCCTAGACTGAGAGAGGTAACAGTGAAAGAAAGTCCTTAGAGATCTAAATTCCAAGATGAACATTTATTGGACCCGAGGGATGATTCTGCAGGAATTCTCCTAAAAATTGTGATGCTCAAGAGAGATGTCATTGCAGAACAGCTGGGGTCTCTATGGGAGTGTTTTCAAGAGCTCCAGCTTCAAACTGCAGTGCTGGGATTAAAAGAGGAAAAGCCACCCACACTGAAATACAAGGATTCTTCAAAAAAAATTATAGGTTTTATGCAGTTAGTAACTGAAGAAATGGAGAATGAGAGCTTGGGGAAGTGTGCTGGCACTCAAGGATGAATGACCCACACTGTGGCAGTGTGGGTGCTTGGAAATGGTGAGCTCAAACATGGTTCCATTTCGCTCAGGTTTCAGCTTTTCATTCCCTTCTTGTGAGGAACTTTGTGTAGCTGTGGCAGAGGCTGGCCCAAAAGCTTGATCTAATCACCCAGTCTGCCTTCAGCTACATTTTTCTGATTTTGCCAATAGCCCCCTGTCACTGTGCTGAGAGTTACAAGACAGCCAGAAAAAAACAGCTGTCACTGCTTCTGTGACAATTTGCAGGACAGGCTGGAGCACAAGGGACATGTCAGCATCCTCTTCTTGAAAATGAAAATCTGTGTGGATCTGACCTGTCTGCCTTAACCCCATTTCTGTCATGGTGGGGCTGTTCCCTGTGATCTGCTACTGGATGGGGACATCACAAAAGCTCAGATGTGCTGTCAGGGAGCCCTTGTTTTTTCCTCGAGTACCAGCTCTGGAGAAGGCAGCGTGTGGGCAGCAGAAGCAGCAAATATTTATGATGAGTCAGGGGGAAGCTGGAATGATGATGAGCTGCTGAAGAATGTGAATGCAAGCAGGATCATGAGGCCGTGGAACTGGAGCAGCCACTGATCCCTGAAGGATGAAGTAGCTGGATTTCCCTGATGGCCCTACATGGCCTCTTCTGCCTTGAGGAAGGGGTTGTGTGCCTGACAGCTTGGCAGTATTTTTTCCCTAATGGTATCATTTGGGTCTAATAAAAGACATTACATCTTCCCCCAGACATGGCTGCTTGTATTCCCCATGCATTGCAAACAGGGGCAGGAGCATCAGGCAGCTGTGCCTCCAAGGGTCTGGGGTGTTTGTATGAGCTTGGAGTCACCCACCAGGTTCTCACGGGCTGGGTGTGGGACCTGTCCTCTTAATTAGGAGGGAAGTGGTGACGTGGTGGGAAAACTGCTCTGGTGTATAAAGTATAAAAATCATCTGAAGGAGCTGGATGTTGGAGACTATGGGATTTGGCCAAGGCTTCAGCAAGAAAATGGTGGCAGGTGATTTTTCTGCTGGGGAGAACAAATTTACAGGATGGGAGCAACAGACTGGGATTTAACCAAGTGCTGTTGGAACACCTCCCTTTAGAGTCAGGGTAGGTTGAGAAACTGATGTAAAATCTACGTTCTCTGTCTGGATTTTGCAAAAACATTTTTTTATTTCAGTACTCAAAGCTCATCACCCTTATGTGCATGCCTTGAGAGCAAGGATTGGGAGGAGGAGAGAGGAGGTCTGGGTACAAAATCCTCTGCTCTTCTAGTTGGGCTGTACTCAATTTGTCATCAAAATAATTTGCTGAACAGAGACTAGGGCTGGAACTTAAAGGCAGCCAATGTTCTCCTGGACTTTCATGTTGATTGCAAGATCAAATTATCTGGTGAATAAATTCTTATGAAAAGGCTTGATGATGCTCTCAAGTCACAGCTTTGCTTCTCCCTTCTGTCTCCACTGGGAAACCTTTGCAGGTGCTTGTGTGACCTGGCCTGAACCTGGCAAGAACTCCTGGACCTGGGCAGGTCCTGCTGCTCCTGTGGTGGCCACATCACTCTGGATGCTCTTTTGATGATGGTGGAGTTTTTCCTTGTCTTTCCTCATCACCTTGCTGACACCTGTCATGACACGATGGCCGCTCATGGTGGAAGCCCTGGTTCTGATGGAAGCAGTAGAGCCAGACAGCCTGGCTGGTTTGTGTTTCAGCAGCATGGCTGGGATTCAGGTGGGGATGTTGTTCAGCCTTCCCTGCTGCTCGATTTAGCTGGGGTGTAGGGTTTCCCGGGAATGGGCCGGCTTTGCCCCCGCAGAGCCTCCCTTCCCAGGGTAAACGTAAAGGTTAAAGTGTGCTGCCGCAGTTGTGACAACGGCGTCGCCAGGGAACAGCGTGCTTGAGGCGCTGCCAGATAGCCCCAGGACAGGCTGTTTCCCAGCTGCAGCCAATGTAGGCTCTGGTTTAAGTTCCTGAATGGGAAGGGAGGAGAAAAACCCCCAAGCCCAGGCTAAGTAGCCTGGGTAGTGGCTGGTTTGCAGAGCCCCGGAGCACTGTGCTGCTCCTTGGGCATGTGGTTTTGGACCAAGGCATCTGAAATCCTGGGGTGCAACAGATAGTGCCCTTCAATTCTACAATTCCTTCTTCCCAAAGGTCTGATTTCAGCTTATTTCTCTCTGCCCACAAATGAATTTTATCTGATAATTCCAAACCATGGTCCCCCATTGCCTTTGTAAAGCCAGTAATGGCTCCCCAGTACCTGCACCCAGGGCTTTGCTTCCTCACCTTGTGCCAGGAATTTGTGCCCAGACCAACCTTTCTCCCAGGGAGCGTGGAAGATTGCAAGCATCCCAGGAAGGCTGGCTGGTGTCCAGCTGCTTGCTCCTGCTCTCCTTGGAGAATTTTATCCTGGTATCCACCACACCAAGAGCTCCAAGGTGGCTGTGGGGCATGGCTCTGGCTCATGGGCTCCTGCCTCATGCTTGGGCATGGATGTGCTTCTTCCACCTCGGGTTTGCCAGGAGGGTGCAGAGCCAAAGGCTGGCGGAGTGGTGGCAGTACGTGCCTGAAGTGACACTGGTGGCCTCCAGGTGCCTGGCAGCCCTCGGCTGGAGGAGGAGAGAGGCAATTCCAAGCTGTATGTTGGCGATGACAGTCGATGGGCAGAGGCCCCGCTGGCCAGGCACAGCATCTGGCCAGTTATTCCTGACCGTGGCCCTACAGCGGCCAAGGTGGGGGACTCCCACTCATCACAGAGTGGTGCTTGTGCCAGGGCTGGGCAGCGTGTTTGTCATTGTCACCAAGAACTGTGGCTGCTGGTGATGCTCCCACCTCTGCTTGTACACAACTGCATCAACACATCAGTGAGCTGGAGCTGTGTGCCTGCTCCTGCATCATCCCTGCTAGTCCTCATCACATTCCAAGTCCCGCCATGGATTTCAAGAAAGGAGCTGGCCTGGTTAAAGCCACAAATTCCATCTGTGAAGGCTGGAGCAGGACAGCTCCATATCTGCTGAGCAGTCCCAAGCAGTTCAGTTGTTCCACTGAGCAAGTATTGCTCTTGCATTGAGGTGTTGATGGTGGGTGCCTCAGGCCAGGGACAGGTGGGACAGCAGCACCTCAAGGACAGAGAAACAGCTGTGATCCCTTCCTGGTTTTTCTCAATTTCAATGCCACATGTGAACCACTGGCAAAGTCTGACCCCAGGCTGTGGCACACAGATGCTGGTGGCTCACTGGGAGCTGGGATTTGCCAATGTGGAGCAGCAGCACTGCCTGAGCAGTGTTGGTCCTCCTGAGAGGTGCTTCAGGCAAATTGAGCACTGCTCTTGGAGGGCTGCTGCTGCTTGCTGGTTGTCTCAGCTCCATTATGGGTGGCACTGGCCAGGGCAGCCTCCCCACCTCCTTTGCTGCTGCAGCCTCCAGCCCTGCCACAGGTAAGATTTAAACTAAGGAGAAAGCAAAGCAAGGTTTAAACAGCGAGGTTTGGTGTCACGCAGGACCTGAGCTTTGTGTGGCTGTGGGGTGGGGGGAACTGGGAGGCAGAACCAGGCTGCAGCTGGCAGGGCTGAGGCTGGAGGAGCCCAGGGTAATCTCAGCCTCCCCAGGGGCACCTGGCCAGCCTGGGCCTTGGGAGAGTCACACTCCAGCAAATGCCAGGATTCAGCCCCACACAGTGCCTGAGGTGTGTCCTGGGGTGCAGCACCCCAGAAAGAGCTGGCAATGCCTGTACACACAGCCCAACCCCTCTGGAGCCTCCAGCTCCTCTGTTTCTTTCCCTGATTCCCAAAACACTTGATTTTGCAGGAAGTCTTTTAACCGTTGCTAGGGAAGGCTGCAGCTGCTGGCCATGCCCAGTTCCCAGCTGCTGTCCCCTTCATCAAGGCGCAGTGGCAGTGCCCAGAGGTGCCACACCATGCCCACAGAGTACAGGGTCCTTTGGAGCTGCTCTCCCAAAGGGCCAGTGCCAGTGGGCAGAGCTGGCCACAGCTCACCAGCACAGGGACCAGCACCATCACCAGCTGCTCCTGGCCACCATCCCCGTGGGTTGGCCAGTATCCTTGTGTCACCTGTGGGCACTTTGGAGGGCCTTAGTCACCTGAATCCTGTCCAGCTCACCCAGGCCACCCCCATGGGATGGTTTTGGGGTGCCACCGTGTCCAGTGCCAGCCCTCCCTGTGGTGCTGTGCTGGAGCAGGAGGCGAATCCATCCCTTCCCCCTGCCCCTTGTGTGTGTGTCCCCAGCCCACGGGGGACAGGCGAGAGTGGCGTGTCCTTTGAACGGGCTCCAGCAGTAACAGGTGCTGGGAAAGGCGAAGTGGGCCGGCTCCCGCTGCTGTAAAGGATCCTCCTCTGCCCGGCTAATCCGGCTCCGTTACACCCGGGATAGAAGAGGCTGCTCCCTCCCTCCGGCACTGCCACAGCGCGGATGCTGCCCCCCTGACCACCCACTGCACCAGCACCAGGTAACGGGGCCGGGGGGGTCTCCATGGCTTCTGACTTGGGGCGTAGTGGTGGGGGGTCCTGTGGATAGTGCAGCCCCCAGCCCAGGGAAGAACACCTCCATCCCCACGGGCTTCCTGTGCTGAGCTGTGGGATGTGGGAACGCTCTCCCAGGGACTGCTCTGCTACACCTCCTGTTCCAGTAGGCCAGCAAACAGCTTCCCTGCTACTGGGATGGTCGCTGCTGGGTTTATTCTGGGGCTGGGCTGTCCTGGGCTCTGGACGGCTGCACAGGGAGGTGTTTTGGGACAGAGTGAGGAAAGATGACGGGCACAGGAGGGCAGTGGAGCCCAGGGCAGAACAACCCAGGGGATTTGGGGATCAGGTGCTGGGCTGGAGGCCAGTGTAGGTACAGGTACCAACAGGTGCCCTTGGCAGAGCTGGTGCCCCTGGGCAGGGGCACGAGCAGCGCTGGCGGCTGCTGGGTGTGGGGGTTGTGTGGCCCCTGAGCAGATGGGGCTTGCCTGCATGGCTGGACCTCCTGTGGGGAGCAATGGTGGGGCCGTGCCGGGAATGCTCACCTCTCCTGATCCCCACTGCCAGCCGGGGCCAGAGCCGCTGTCTCCTGCCCTGCCATGGTGGGATGTGGCCTTGAATTGTCACCCTGGCTGTTCGCACGTCGGAGGCCCCAGGCACCCGGTGACAGGTGCCGGGGTCAGGCCATCGATCAGTCACCGCGGGGCAGATATCGGGGCACAATGGGACCGGTGGCCACGTGGGGTCCCTGGATCGGTGCCACCGGCCCGGGAGCCGCCGGCTGGGTGGCAGGGGCACGGTTCCCGGCTGCATGGGAGCAGCCCACCCCTGCAGCAGCGCACCCCTGCAGCAGCGCACCCATGCAGCAACGCACCCATGCAGCAGCGCACCCCTGCAGCAGCAGAGCCTCTGCCCGAGCCCTGCCGTTCCCTCTGCAGGGCATCGGGTCCGGCGAGCCCTCAGCTGCTGCTTTCTCTCCCGCAGGAGCCTCGCCGGACCGGGAGCACCGCAGGGCACCTGGAGTGTCCCATGGAGCAGGGTGGAGGCGCGGGTGGTGCCGACACCGGCGGGGCTGGCGGCCCCCGGGCTGCCCAGCCACAACGGGGGACAGCGCCAGCCGCCACCGTGGCACAGCACAAAGGCACAGATGAGCCTGGGCAGGAGAAGGCTGGTGGAGGGACGAGCGAGCCCGAGCAGGAGACAGCCCTGGCTGCTCCAGAGCTCCAGCATGGACGGGAAGCTGTTCCAGGAGAGGAGACTTCGGCTGTGCAGCATGATGGAGGACAGGCAGCATCTGATGGAGGACAGGCAGCATCCACAGAGGAGAAGGTGCTGGCTGCCACTGAGGCCCAGGGTGTAGGGAAGGATGAGAACAAGAAGCCTGGGGAGAAGAAAGCTCCAGCTGCAGGAGAGCTCGAAGGAGGAAAGGCTTCAGCTGCTGCAAAGGCTGAGGATGGAGGGAAGGATGAGCCCATGGAGGGGAAGGGCCAGGCTGTAATTGAGGCACAGGATGGAGGAAAGGACAAGCCCAAGAAGGAGGAAACACCTGGTGGGTCAGGGGCTGAGAGTGGTAGAAAAGCAGAGTCCACTGAGGAGAAGGCTCTGGCTGCAGCAAACTCAAAAGGAGGGAAGGCAAAACCTGTGGAGGAGACACCCTTGGCTGCAGCTCAGGCTCAGGATGGAGGCAAAGGAGAGCCTGCAAAGGAGAAAATCACAGTGGTTGCAAAACAGGAGGTCCCAGCCACTGCTAAAGCTCTGGATGAAGGGAAGCAAGATGCAAAGGCAGAGCAAGCCCCAGCTGATACCAAGCCTGCAAAGGAGAAAACCACAGCTGCTGCAAAGGAGAAGGCCCCGAATGCTGCAAAGGCTCAGAGTGGGAAGAATAAAGAGGTAAAGGCAGAAAAAGCCCCAGCAGTTAAAAAGGCTCCGGATGGAGGCAAAGAGGAGCCCACAAAGGAGAAGCCTCCAGCTCCAGTGAAGGAAAAAGCCCCAGATTCAGTGAAGGAGAAAGCTGCAATTCCTGCAAAGGAGAAAGCCCCAGATACTGCTAAGGCTCAGGATGGAGAGAAGGCAGCAGCAAAGGCAGAGAAAACACCAGCTGAAAAAATGGCTCAAGGTGAAGGCAAAAAAGAGCCTGCAGAGGAGAAATCCCCAGCAGCTGTGAAGGTGCAGGATGGAGGGAAGAAAACTGCAAAGGTGGAAAAATCCACAGTTGCATCAAAAGCTGGGGATGAAGGGAAAGATTCTAAAAAGGAGAAGGTCCCAACTACTGCAAAGGCTCAGGATGGAGGGAAGAAAACTGCAAAGGTGGAAAAATCCACAGTTGCATCAAAGGCTGGGGATGAAGGGAAAGATTCTGAAAAGGAGAAGGTCCCTGCTGCTGCAAAGGCTCAGGATGGAGGGAAGAAAGCTGCAGAGGTGGAGCCTCCCACGCCTGGAGCAGAGGCTGGGGACGGGGCTGTGGAGCCCACGGAGGCAGCGGCCATGGCTGTTGTGAAGGCTCAGGGTGAAGGGGAGGAAGTGTCCAAGGGGACAGAGGGACAGCCACCAACGATCCCCGAGGCCCCGCGCCCAGCTCTGCTGCAGAGCCTGAGCTGCCCGGCTGCCTGCCACAGGTACCCACACCCTGCTGGGATGGGGGGATCCCCCTCACTGCTCCAGGCAGCCCGGGGTCTCTGGGTGCTGGGCTCGGGAGCTGCTGGCTGGGCTCTGCTCACCTGCCACTCCTGCTTCCAGGCAGGAGCAGCCCTGGGCAGAGGTGGCAGAGATGGAGACAATAGAAGAGGAGTCCACGATGGTGGAGCCAAAAGAGGGTCTGACAGAGCCTGGCTCTGGCCCACCAGCCCTGGGGGACCTGCAGCCCCTGGAACCCCCTGGCACCCCTCAGGAAAGGACATTGCCCAGTGCCACAGCACAGCCCCCAGATCCTGCTGGGGTGGTGGAGCAGCCTGGACCTGTGGTGGAACCATCTTTGACAGAGGCAAAGCCACCCCCCAGCCCCTACCTCACCCCCGATTTTGGGAAGGAAGACCCTTTTGAGATATTGGGTAAGGTCATGAGGTAGCTGTCTTTTCCTTATCCTCTGGACACTCTGTGGAGTGACAGCCGGGGAACCCCTGGCCCTGCCTGCTGCCCACACTGCCCTCCGTGCTGCCAGCTCCTGTCCTTGGCTTGTCACCTGCCCGGTGGCCTCCGAGCTCCCCTTTCACTGTAAACAGGGCTAAATACGTCGCGTCCCTCCTGGCCTGCTCTGGCCACACTGACTGTGAGGAAGAGGAGCCTGAGGAGTGACAGTGACTGTCTGGCTGGTGGCAGGGGACAGCATGTCCTCATATCCTGCACCACTGTCCTTGTGGGGATGGCAGGGCTTTGGGGCAGTGGGTGCTTGTGGGGATCCCTGTGAGGCTGGGTCCTGCCCTCAGCTGGGAAAGGGTGACTCAGGAATGTGTGCACGGAGTGCTCCTGAGTGGGATCTGTCCTTGGACTATGAGCAGGAGGTGGTGGCATGGAAGGAGGAATTGGCCTGGAGAGGGTGACAGACAATGACATGGCCTGGAAAGGGTAAATGTGACGTGTGGGTTGGTGGGGGTGGCTGTTGTCAAGTAAGGTGGGTGCTGTGCAATGGGATGGGTGCCATGGAGGTGAGTGGGTGCTATGGAGCAGGCTTGGTGCCATGCAGCAGGACAATGCTGTGGGCAATAGCCAGGGACCCTTCCAGGGTTGCTGCATTATCCAGTGCAGCCCCAGGCTGGGGCTGTGAACCTCTGGCTCACAGCCCAGCACGCAGTGCCTGGCCACATCCTGTACCCACAGGCTTGGCTGGGTGCCTGTCTTCACTCCACATCAGGGCAGCCCAGGGTACCCAGAGTGGGGTCCCCTGGACAGCAGATCCCCTTCTCACCTCATCCTTTCTCTTGGGCAGACGATGTCCCTCCGCCGCCAGCACCCTTCGCTCATCGCATCGTCACCCTGCGCTCCGCCAGCGTCAGCTCCCAGTTCAGCCTCAACTCCAAGAACATCCTGGGAGGGTAAGGAGTGGCCCCAGTGCTTCTCCTGGCACTGTCCAAGCTGCTCTCCAGCCTTGGGCAGTGGTCTTGTGTCGGTGGTCATGATGTGTGGGTGCTTGGGGCAGTGCAGAGCAGCACCACAGTGAGGTGTCAGGGTCCCCAGCAGCCTGGGTGGCTGATGGTGGGGGCACTTCTCCCTCTCTCCCTTCCTCCTTCCCTCCACAGGGGCAAGTTTGGTGAAGTCCACACGTGCACAGAGAAGGAGACGGGGCTCAAGCTGGCAGCCAAAGTGATCCGGAAGCAGGGAGCAAAGGACAAGGTCTGAACGATGCCGGGCAGGTGGTGGCAGTGTTACACTCTGCGTGCCCCTGGTGTGAGGACACAGCCCGTCCCAGTGGCACAGCCAGGGCTGACACCCCACACCGGGGCTCCTTCTGCAGGAGATGGTGCTGCTGGAGATCGACGTGATGAACCAGCTGAACCACCACAATCTCATCCAGCTCTACGATGCCATCGAAACGCCCCGGGAGATCATCCTCTTCATGGAATTGTGAGTGCCTGTGCCTACCTTGTCCAACCCCAAAGTGCTCCATCCCACTCTGGCTCTGCTCAGCACCCCCTTGGTAGAGCCGGGCCAGTCTCCTCAGGAGGGCAAGGAGCTCTACAGGAGGATGGCTTGGGGCAGAGAGTTCCCCCAAAGTGACCCCCTGGTCCATCCCCATGCAGCGTGGAGGGTGGCGAGCTCTTCGAGCGGATCATCGACGACGACTACCACCTGACGGAGGTGGACTGCATGGTGTTCGTGCGGCAGATCTGCGAGGGCATCCGCTTCATGCACCACATGGGCGTCCTCCACCTCGACCTCAAGGTGTGGGGCTGGGGGCTGACAATGACAGGGCCAAGGGTGACAGCAGGACACTGTGGGAGGGACACCTGCAGGTCAGCATTGCTCTGGTGGGGGTCAGCTGCAGGACCCATGGGCTGCTGGACCTGTGCAGTGGGGATGTCCCCTCCTGGTGGTGAGGCAATGGTCACCCTGTCCCCACAGCCTGAGAACATCCTCTGCGTCGCTGCCACCGGGCACATGGTGAAGATCATCGACTTTGGGCTGGCTCGAAGGTGAGGTTTTCTTTCTCAGCTCTGTCCCTGTTCCCCTTCCACCCTTCATCTGTGTGTGCCTTTGGGTACCAGGAGCCTCAGGACCTGCTCTAGGCCATTATTTTGCCTATGGCACTCCCTGACTAGCTGGGGAGGGCAACATCTGCTGAGAGGGGGGCAGTGGTTTGGGGGAGCAGCCTGTCCCCATTGTACTGACTTGCACCCCTCCTCGGCTGCAGGTACAATCCCAATGAGAAGCTGAAAGTGAACTTTGGCACCCCTGAATTCCTCTCCCCTGAGGTGGTCAACTACGAGCAGGTCTCCTACACCACGGACATGTGGAGCATGGGTGTGATCACCTACATGCTGTACGTCAGGCAGGGCAGGGGCTGCCAGAGCCGTGCTGGGGAGCTGCAGAGCTGAGGCACAGCTCCTCTGGGTGCAGAGCTGTCCCAGGCACCTGGCTGCTTGGTGGCAGGGGTGGGGGGGGGGTCCTGGATGTGGAGGGGGCTGTGTGTGGCTGGGGGAGCATGAAGAGGCTCAGCCTGGCTGCAGGCAGGAAGATGGCAGCACATCCCTGGAACATCCCTGGCCAGACTGGCTCTGTTCCAGGGGGTCTGTGAGGTGCTGAAGCCTGAGAGCACCTGGCTCCTCACCTCTCTGCACCCCCAGGCTCAGCGGCCTCTCTCCCTTCTTGGGTGACGATGACACCGAGACACTCAACAACGTCCTGGCTGCCAACTGGTATTTCGACGAGGAGACCTTTGAGAGTGTCTCCAATGAGGCCAAGGACTTTGTCTCCAACCTCATCATCAAGGATAAGAGGTGTGAGGCTGGCAGTGGCCATGGGGTCCTGGGATGGGCATCCCCAGAGCTGGCTTGGGTACCACATTGGGTACCGCTGCCTCTTCACCAGAGCCAGCAGCATCCCCTGAGTCCTGCATTAACCCCATGGGGCTCTGCCCCACTCTGATTGTCCCCAACAGAGCCCTGTATCCCTGCAGGGACACCTGTCCCAAGCAGGATGTGCTGGAGCCCTCAGCATCCTGCCCTGCCCCACCAGTCCCTGGGCACATCCTTCCATCTGGCTCCTGCCTGCAGGGCTGTGGGGTTTTGGGGCTCTGGAGTGGCTGGAGATGGGGGTGGTTGGGGGTGAGGGGCTTGATGTGGGCTCATCTTTCTCCCAGTGCTCGGATGAGTGCTGACCAGTGCCTGCAGCATCCCTGGCTCAACAACCTGGCAGAAAAAGCCAAACGCTCCAACCGGCGGCTCAAGTCCCAAGTGCTGCTCAAGAAATACGTCATGAGGCGGCGCTGGAAGGTGCGGGGTCTGGCCAGGGCATGAGGGTCAGCAGCTTCTGAGGGGGCTGGGAGGGGGCTGCCAGACTCCTCCTGTCCTGGTGGATGGCATCTGGAGCATGGAGAATGGCTCCATCTCGCTGTGCTGCTGGCAGCCAGGACACAGGGCTGGGGACCCTTGAGCAGGGATGCCCCTATCAAGCATAGGTCCCTTTGTGGTGGTTATTCCTGAGCTGATCCCAAGGGCAGCTTTTAGGGGCAGGAGTAGCGTCAGGCCCCAGAGTGGAGTCTGGCTCAACCTTTGGTGCCACAGCCCTTGCCAGAGAATGAGAATCTTTCCTCTCCCCTTTCACAGAAAAATTTCATCGGGGTGTGCGCTGCCAACCGCTTCAGGAAGATCACCAGCTCAGGGTCCCTGACAGCACTGGGCATCTGAGCTGGGCTCCCAGGAGAGCCGAGGCCAGAAAGGAGCCACTTGAGGGACCCCCACCAGTCTGGAGCAGCTCTGTCGAGCTGGTCCCACTGCGCTCAGGACCACATACTGCTGGGTCTCAGACTGTGAGGCTGCTCCGGAGTGAAGGTTTCTGATCTCAGCTCTGGCCCTGGCCTGGCTGTGTGATGCCTGACCTGCAGCATCTCTGCTCTGCTCACGCTTCCTTCTCGTGCCCTCGGAGGAGGAAGGCCATTCCGGTGTGATCCCGCTGCCTCGGCCACCTGGTGCTTGCTGCTTTTGGACTCAAAATGTGCCTCTCTGCCTGTAAATGCCGCAGCCCTGCCTGCCTTCACTGCCGCTGGCCCCTGCACTGCCCGGCCTCCCTTCCCAGCTCTGCGGCTCGGCGATGATGCTGGAGCGCCCCGCGGACCCTCACCCCGGTGCTTTGGCACCGGAGCCGGGGCTCAGGCACCTCCTCCTGGCCAGCTGGCCATGTGGGAGCGGAGCTGGCCCGAGCTGCTGCTCGCACAGGAAGGGAGGAAGCAGCAAGCACGCTTCCAGCGGCGTCCCCAGCTGGGAGCCAACGAGGAAAGAAGGAGGCTTTGTGTTCCTCCTGCCCTCCCTGCCCTTCGGTTCTGCCAGCGGGGGAAAAACACAACCTCTGCTTCACCCGTCCCCGGCAGATCGCGATGAGCGAGGCGGGCTAATGCAGAGCAGCTGGGCCGCGCTCCCCGCTCCGGCCGCACCGCTCAGCCGACCACCAACGCACCGGAACCGCTCCCCCGCCCGAACGGGGCTCCGCGGGACTGCTGCGACCGGGGAGAGGGTGCTGCTCCAGCCCCGCGCCTTGTCCCGACCCCCGTCCTCTCTGCCTGCCCCCCTTGGGCCTCCCCGGTGCTGCCAGAGGATGGGCATCCCCTGGGATTTGCAGCATCCAGCCTTGCCCACTGCAGGAGGCGATGGGGTTGGCAAGAGGTCCCCCAGCTTTGGTTTTGCCATGGCTAAGCCGCCCCCAAGTCAAGGCTGTGTGTTTGCTCTGGAGCTGCCTCTGCCCGCTGTGCCTGCTGGAAAAACACTGGGGAGAGGCACGGGGAATCATTGCTGCCCACCCCACACTGGCTGCAGCAAGGGAAGGGGCTTCAGCCTTGTCCCCACCAGGCAGAAGCCACGGCTGGTGGGACCCTGCCCCATAATGGAGCCCTCCACAGTGCTCACCTTCTTGTAAATAAATGTACAGGTCTGCCCACAGCTCACACCTGCCACTCTGGGGGCTGGGGAGGCCCTGCTCCCACCTGTGGGGCCTGACAGTCACAGGATAAGTGAGATGGGAAGCAGAATCTCATCTCTGTGGTAGAGGGAATGGGTCCAAGCTGTGCCGTGGACAGGGACCACCTGGTACATCCTGGGCAGGGCTGTGCAGGCATAGTGCCAAGGGTTTCTGGTCTACACACCCAACAGCTCTGAGCACCCCACGGGAATGGGGGAAGGGAAAATGACCGGATGGATGGGGGATGGATCAGCTGTCATTCAGACGTCTCTTCACATCTTCAGCATCTGCCCATATCGGGGGGGATGCCCAGGCAAGGGCGGGTGGGTGCGGGTGTCCCTTTGCCCAGGGGAGCTGTGGCTGGCTCTGAAGTGGTTAAAGCTGCCAGAGCCGGGACTCCAGCTCCCGCCGCAGGCGTCCCTCCCAGCCGCTTCCTGCCGGCAGCCTTTGACCGGTTCCTGTCGGTGACCACCCCGCAGGCCTGGACGCCAGCGCAGCCCCATCTGGTTTGAGTTACGCTCCACGGCGGTGACGTCTCCTTCCTGTCTGGCCCCAGGAGCCGCGCATCGCCCCGGTCCCGGCCCTGGCCCCGGACGGCCACAGGGGCTGCAGGGCACTGCAGTGGGGTGGCCACGGGGCTTCCAGATGGGCCATCAGCCCCGGACATTCCTGGCATCCTGATCTGCTGTAGGGGATCAGTTCCTGAACGCAGCCCTGGGTGTGCACATCTGCGGCAGAGGGATGCACAGACACCAGCACAACCCAGGGTGTGGGACCTCCACCCCACAGCCCAGTTTGGTCTCTCCAGTCCCCTCCTTCCTACCCTGGGGCTCTACAGAGACACACACTGGGGCTGGATGAATGGGGCCACAGGGCTGACACCCATGGAAGTAGCTGTGATCCAATCCTATGCTCCCAACAGATAGCTCGTGAGCCCCTGAAGCTGCTTGGAATTGACTGGTCCCATTGGAGCTAAATGCTCCTGGTCCAGCACACATCCAGCCAGGTCCATCCCTTATACGTGGGGTCCTCATCACCCCCACGGATGCACGGCGCAGTCTGGATGTGCACGCGTGTGTCCTCAGCATCCATCCCCGGAGCGTGGAGCAGCACACATTCCACATGCACCCTGTCCCTGTGGCACGCACCCTGCTGCAGAAGGAAGGATCCCCGCAGGCAGTGCGGGGAGGGGAGGGGAGCGGGCAGACCTCCGGCACCTGGCAGCGCCGCCGGCAGCGCAGCAGGTTCGCCCCGTGACCGGGTGCAGCGAGGCCCGGCCGCGGCACGGCCCAGGATGGGAGAGGGCGAGCGGGCGGGGGATCGGGCCACCCACAGCGAGCCGGGAGCAAGCCAGGGAGGAGGCAGAGCAATGAGAGAACAGCGGGTCCATGACCGGCAGTCAGGGTGAGGACGGGAAAGGGGAGCGCTGGGAGAGCGCACGGCTCTGATCTGCGCTCCCGGGCAGCGCAGGACAGGAGCGCCCATCCCTATCCCTAGCGGCTGCTGCAGTTTGGGGGACAGCGAGATGGGCCACGCTGCTCCCAGCACAGGGACCCCATCTCGGGCACAGCATGGGGCCGGGGCCGTGTGTTCCCAGCCGCGGCGGGCGATGGGCCCGGCCACGCTGCGTGGGAACCAGACGGCCCCCGGGCACGGCTGCGGCGCTCGCTTCCTCCCGCGCCCCCGGGGACCGTGCGAAGGAGGGGGCTGAGGTCAGCCGCGCTCGCCGCCGGCCGCTCCGGAGACGCCAGCATGATGTAGGCGCTCAAATATTGTTTTCCACTGGGTAGGGGAAAAAAAAGGGAGAAAAGAGCGGCCCAGGGCTGAGTGGCAGTCCCCGACGATGAAGAGCGGCCCCCCTGCCCTGCCCGGGGCTGGGACTCAGCCATGGCGCAGCAGCAGCCGACTGCGGGCTGATAACAGAGCGGACGCGGCCGCGGTGCTCCCGGTCCCCGAGTGACGGCAGTGTTCCTCCGTGCCAGCACGGCCCCGCAGAGACCCCAGAGACTGGCCAAACTGGAGTCCCCCTGGCCTTGGGGAGCTGGGGGGACTTTGACACAAATTTGGTCTTCACATCAGCACGGAGAGCCCCTGCCAACGCTGTGTCTATCCTAGGGCTGGCTGTGCCATGGGGTCTGGGTGTTGCTGCTCCTGGGGAGCTCCCGCTCCCAGCCTGGGGTTGGCAGGATGAGGGGTGCAAGCACAGCCCCCTCATTTTTCCAGCATTACTCTGGCCCCACTCCTGTGCTCAGAGGTGCTGACTTGGGTGTTCCAGCGCTGTGTGGGAAGGAGCTGGTGGCCAGGTCCCATCCTGGGGCTGTGTGGGGACCCTGCCCACTCCAATGGCCCCAGTTGGGCCAGTTGGGGCATATCCCTGTGCCCAGCCCAGTGTGAACAGCGGTGACTCAGCTGGTGCCTCTTCACTGGCAGCCACCCTGCATGATTCAGGTTGGAGGAATCCACTTTCCAGGCTGTTCCCATCAGAGCTGCAGCCCCTGGCACAGCCCATCTTTGGGGCTGCCCTGGTCTCGGAGTCTGCAGGGACTAGTTGGAATTCCAGCCAAGCACTGACACAGCCACAAGCAAGGACAGAGAGGGGAGGGAGCCCTGTCCCCCCCATAGCAAAGCCTCCACACTGTGCTACAACCCCTGGTGCCTCCCTGCAAACTCTGGGGCAACACAGGTCCATTTGCAGGGCCACACACAGAGGCTGGTGCTACGTGTGACATCCTGTGAAAAAAACAGCTTGGAGGGGTCCCAGGCCCAGGGAGGTGACAGTGAGGCTCCACTGGGGGATAACTTCTGCTGCAGCCCATCCCCCTGACCCCCAGGAACGAAGTTCCCTCGTACTACCATGGGATGGTGCTTCAGGGGCTCCTGGCCCCACACTGTGGCAGGACCCTGTCCCCAGCATCTCTCTGGGACACACGACCTGGGTGTAGGTGCCCTGACCAAGGCCATGCCCCATCCCCACATGGCCTCACCATTCAGTCAGTGCTCACTGATGGAGGGACTGGTGGGGATGGAGGCTGGCCTTGGGCACATGTGCCCCCCAGCCAGCACCTGGGCTGGGGCTGAGGATCCCCAGCTTGCCCCTGCCCACTGCCCACCTCGAATGGGGCATAGAGACCACAGAGGCAGCGTTGGGGAATGTGCTTTATTAGGTGCTGGGTTGTCCCGGGGTGGGGAGTCCCTCACTCAAAGAAGAACATGCCGGGTGTCCGGTAGAGGCAGGGGGGCAGCCCCAGGGGGTAGCCATTCCCCCCCTGCAGTGGGATCGTGGTCCCCGGCCCCCATGGCTCCTTCTGCTCACTTGCCCGTGGCCCCATGGCCCCGAAGGGTGGCTGGCGGGGGGCGGTGGAGGCCGGGGGGGCTGCAGCCAGGAGATGCTCCAGCGCTGTGCTGCAGGGCCGCTCCTTCACGCAGAAGCTCAGCGCCTGCACCCGGCACTGATAGCTGCTGCCCAGCGCCTCGGGGCCCGGCCGGCTGAAGGAGCCAAACACGGGCAGGTGGGGCTGCGTGTAGCCCTCTCCCTCCAGGAAGCACGATGGGGAGGGCTTGCCCGTGCCCAGCAGGTTGCCAGGGAATGCAGGTGGCACCTGCCCGAATGGCTGACATGGCCCCAACCCAGTGGCAGCCAGCTCCTTGCCTTCCAGCTGCTCTGGGGGGGTGTCTGGGGTGGCCGGTGAGTCCTGCGGGGGGTCCCTGTGCTGGGTGGGCAGCAGGGCAGGCAGCAGGGCAGGGTGCTGGTGCTGGGCCGGGCGCTCGCTGGGCAATGGGTACTGACCTGGCCGGGGCAGCTGCAGCGCCGCCGGGAGCCCCCCGAAGACAGTCTCCTTGGGCGGGCGGCTCTCGGGGGGCGTGAAGAACGGCCCCTTGGGCTGTGCCATGTCCGGCAGGTACAGGCAGGGCTGCCTGGCCTTGGGTGGCTGACGCCGGGCCCAGGGCTCGGTGCACCCCGGCGCCCCGGCGCCCTCTGAGAGAGCGGCAGGGCTCGGCAGGCGTCCTGTGGCCGACGGCGAGCTGTAGCCCCCCTCTGCCTTCCCCTCGTCCGGCAGCGGGGCAGCGGGCAGCCCTTGCCCCTGCTGCCTGGGGGTCTTGCCGCGCCCCTCGTCTCCCTCAGTGCCCGGTGCGTCCCGCACACCCTTCTTCCTGGTGAAGCGCCGGCGGCGCCGCAAGAAGCTGCCGTTCTCAAACATGTTGTAGCAGTCGGGGTCGAGGGTCCAGTAGTTGCCCTTTCCCGGTTTCTTGTCGTCACGGGGCACCTTGACGAAGCACTCGTTGAGGGAGAGATTGTGGCGGATGCTGTTCTGCCAGCCCTGCTTGTTCTCGCGGTAGAAGGTGAAGCGGCCCATGATGTAGCGGTAGATGCCGCTGAGGGTGATGCGCTGCTCGGGCGCGCTCTGGATGGCCATGGTGATGAGGGCGATGTAGCTGTAGGGTGGCTTGGTGGCCTCAGCGCTGGGGAAGGCGCCGCCGGCCGGCTCAGGGGCCGGAGGGCTGCGCAGCGCCGCGTCGCCGACGGGGAGGTCGGGCTGCATCCTCCCTGCCGGCCCCGCCGCTCGGCTCCGCCGCTGATCCCGCCGGCCCCGCTCTGCCGCACGGCCCCAGCACGGCCCGTTAAAGCCCCGCCGGCGAGGGGGCGGCGGGCCCCTCCTCTGAGGGGCCGCCCAGGGCGGAGCAGGGCTCTGCCGTCCAGCACCGGTCCCTGCGGACAGACAAACGGATGCGCCGCCAAGACCTGCGGCCGGCAGCCAGTGGCCCCGCGGTTGGCACGGCCCCGGCCTCCCCAGGGCAGAGGCGGGCGCAGCCCCCGGCTTCCCCAGCCCCCTTTCCCACGGAAGGTTCCCACGACCTGGTTCTCATCCTGTCCTGCTCACGGTGAGCAGCCGGGCTCTGGCTGGGTCTGGAGTGAGGCTGAGTGAGGGATGTTGGCAGGACTGAGGTGCTGCCTGCCCTCGGATGCCCATCTGCCCCCTGCCCACCCCAGTGCCTCAGCCCCTGCCCCCAGCCTGGCCTTGTGCTGGATCCTGTGCCAGGTTCCGGCATTGTTCCCAAAACTCTGGGCACAGCACAGACCCCAGGAGCTCCATCACACTGCTCATGAGTGCAAACAGAGACACAGGTGGTTGACTGCCTTTGGGACAACCCTCTGTGTTACCAGGTCAGCAGAGCAGCTAACAGGCACCTCGCTGCTGCCTCCACTCCTGCCAAGGGGCTGGGACAAGGGGCAGGACAGGTCTGGAGCCAGTGCTGGGGCAGGGGTTGTCTCACTCTGTGGCTGGGGCTTTGCTCACATGAGGCTCTGTCTGGACTCAGCTTCCCCAGCCACCTGTGCTCCCGCTTGGACCAGCACCAGCCCCTCACCCCAGAGCCAGCCCCCAACACCCATATGAAAACACAACCTTTATTTCTAAGGTTTGTAACAACGAGTCCTGGCAGCACAAGTTGCAAGGACAGGGCCAGGTCTGCCCTGGATTGCTGAATAGGCACATAACAAACCCCACCTGACAGACTCCTGGGCAATAAATACAGCAATCACAGGGGCAGCAACACCTGCCCACCCAGCTAACATCTGTCCTTGTCTGGTCCCATACATTGAGCACCCTGCCTTGGGACATGCAGCTGGAATGCAGCCATGGGGCTCAGAGCCTCCCACTCTGGCAACTGGGGTCACCTCTCCCACCCAGTTCAGGGCTGGCAGAGCTGTTTGAGGACATGGAGAACATGGCTGGAGGTGCCAGGGGAACAGGGCTGGGGGGAATTGCAGAGCAGTGTCGGCCTCAAGCGCTGGGCGTGATGGAAGAGCTCCCGAGCGAACACTGGCTCCACCTGTGGAGGCACAGAACGACAGAGGATGGGCACAGGTCCGTGTCCCTGCCTCGCAATGGTCCCTGTGCCTGGCTACTCACGTGAGCCATGATGAGCTTCTGGAAGGGATGCTCATCTCTGGTGGGGTATTCCTCCCCAAAGCACAGGTAGATCTGGTACTGAGGCAGGAGCTGCCCGTTGCTCAGGTACTCCCGCACCTCTGCAAGACACCAACCCTGTCAGGGGACACAGGGTGCTCACAGCCCCATCAGCTACAGCAGAGCAGGACCTGCCCCTCTTCCCGAGGGGAGCGGGGTCTCACAGGCACTTACGCTGTATGTACTGCTGGGTGTCCAGCAGCTTGTAGGTCTTCTCCCTCTCCAGCTTGTTGGGCCAGTTCTTGTGTGGGGCCAATGGCCCGTTCCAGTACACCCTGCCCTGGCACTGGCGCTTCATGAAGACCCCCTCAGGTGCTACCCACAGCAGCACCCCACGCTCCAGGTGGGGCAAGAGCCGCTCCAGCACATCAGTCATGCAGGCCACATGGCCATGGCTGCTGAGCACCTGTGGCGGGGGGAATTTTATCTGCTCCATGCAGGAGGGACCGTAGAGGTGCTCGCTGTCGGCCGGCACGATGCTGGTGGTGATGCGGCAGCCCTCGGCCGTGCGGGTGGTCACCTCCTTCACCAGCACATCGCAGTAGTACAGGCGGATGTGGAGCCAGCAGTCTGGGGCAAAGGGAGGATCGGTTCATGGGCAGTCTGGGCTGGTGGGGTTACCCAGGACATTGCCTGCAACACGGCTCTTACCTGAATTGTTGACATCCTCCACAGGGAGGTAGGACTGGGGTCCGGGCAGAAGCTGGCCATGGATTGGGCTCCAGCCATAGAAGACTCCCCTCACAAGGCACCCTGGACCAGGGCAGAGATGAGGTGGTAAAAGGACATGGACAGTTACCCCAAGGGCTCCCAGGCACTCTCCTGGCCCAAGACCCTGGGCCCACATGTCCCACCGTGTTGGCTCATTACTGGGTCTCATCATATCCCCTAAGTGTATGGCTTTGCTGTGGTAGGGTGGGAATCCTCAGCACCTACCTCAATCCCCACAAGTGCTGTCTGCATGAGTGACAGGAGAGCAGGATCCTGGCAAAAGAGTGCACTCCCTGCCCCCACCCCATCCCACCAAGAGGGACCCTCCTCACCTTGATCAGTTGGGTGACCAGAGACCCGGTGCTGTGGAGACACGTAGGCATGTCTCCATGGGCTGTGGACACTCTCCAGCATGTCCTGGCTTTCCTCCTTCTTTGGACTCCTTGGAATGCTGCCCTGGGGGTAGGAGCAGCCTTGGTGAGGGCTGAGCGGGCAGTGGGGGATCCTGAGCCAGCTCCTTCCTCTACTACGGACCCCAAAAGCCAGCAGATCCCCTGCCTGGCAGTGCGTGGCACAGGGGACCCTTTCTGATGCCCCACGGGACAAATGCAGTCAGTGTGCAAGCAGGGCAGCAGCTGATGGGTGAGGGAGGGATTTGAGGGTCCCACCTTCTCCCCTGCCTGGAAGGCACAGGGCAGGCTCACCTGCTGGTCCTCACTGCCTGGGGACTGTGTGTCATTGTCCTCTGCAGAGAGCAAGAAAGAATGGGTAAACCCCTGGCAAACAGCAGGAACAGCCCCAGGGAAGGCAGCTGGCTGTCCCGGGACACCCAGAGAGGAAAAGGAGTGGGGAGAAAGGGCATCGTTCAGGTATCAGCCCCACATCTGGCACAGGAGGAGGGACGGCAGGAACACACCTGCACCACAGGCTCTCTCGGTCACGATCTGGTACACCTTGTAAGGCTCGGAGATGTCCAGCTGGCTCCGCTCGGGTACCTCCTGGAAGTCGGTGCTCTTGTTGAGAGCGCAGCGCAGCCGCGTTTTCCAGGTGGAGGGGTCGGCCTTGTCCGTCCCTTCGTGGTACTTCCCCTTGTAGATGGCCCAAGCCTGAGGGACAGAGGGTGCCCTGTTCTGTGGGGGTTTGCCACAACCTGACCCCCGGCTCGCCTGTCCAAGGGGGTCCAGCAGGATGGGGACGGGGAGCCGGGGCTGTGTGTGTGTCCTGGGGGACTGCGGGGAGCTGGGGGGGTTGCGGGGTGGCAGGGGAGCACACCGGGAGCTCCGGGAGCGTGCACGGAGCTGGGCGGTGTGTGCCAGGGGTGTGCACGGAGCCGGTCCTGGCGCTGCGCACAGAGCCAGGCAACGGAGAGCCCTGGAGGTGCCCATGGAGCTGGGCTGCACAGAGCTGGGTGAGCGGCTCCGGGTGCGCACGGAGCTGGGCGGTGCGGAGCCCCGGGCGGTGGGGAGCCCCGGGAGGGCACACGGAGCCCGGGGGCCATCCCCAGGGCCGGGTGGGGACCGCGGGGAGCCCGGGATACCTTGAAGAGCGCAGCATCCTCCTGCTGCCGGTAGTCCTGCTTGGCGGCGTGCTTCCAGGGGATGCGGAAGAGCGTTCGGTGCCGGTTCTCCCAGCGCAGCCCCGGGTACCGGCCGCTGTCGATCTGCGCGATCAGCCACTCCTTCAGCCGCATGGGCGACCCCGGCTCCGCCATCGCGGCCCGGCGGCGAAACCGAAAGCGGCTCCAGCTTTCACTTTCCCTTTCCTGGCACACGACGCAGGTTCTGGCTGCCCCAAGGCGGGGAGGGGGGACGGTTCTTAAATTTTTTTTTTCTGCTCCGCTTTTCCCCACGCAGCAGCGTCAGTCATCCGTGTTCAGGAAAAAGTGATGTCGTAATTGACGGTTACAGCAATGGGAAGAGCTGGAGCTGGTGCCTCTGGGAGGGACCCCCGACAAAGGCATCCCCGAGGTTTCAGACCCTTACAGTATGTGCACCCATGTACGCCAGTGGTGATTTTACTCTCTTCCCGTTGTTCACTGGCTCCTGCAGAGGCTCTGGGTGATTGACCCCCACTCTGGGAAGTGTCCTTTGTTAGGCAAAGGGTGGGCGCCCATTGCGGGCTCTTGCCTGGGGCTCCAGCCTTTTCCTGCCGTGCAGAACACAATGTGCAGCTCGCACTGGTAATTTACATACCGAGATACCTGCACTAGGTGTGTTTCTCAACAGTCACCCTGCACTCGCGGGAGAGGGGCAGGCACATTGCATCCCCGGGAGAGGGGAAAAGGCCCCAGAAGGCACACGGAACTCTCCTGCACCCCTCCCAAATGCTTACTCTAAAACTGTCAGGTCTCCCACATGCTCCCCGAAGGGGACAAGGGACCCTACTCCCTTTACTTCCTGCACTGGGGACCCAGCCGGACACGTTCCAGCTCCAGGGGCTGCGTCCTCCCATGGGACCAGCTGCTCATCCATGGGTGTGGGGAGCTGCAAGGAGCTGCGGGAAGAGCACGGGGTTTTCAGGGTGGTGGGAACAGTCACATGTCCCCATCTCTAAAATCTCTCCTCTGCCCTAATGCTAACACCTGCCTCGTGGGGCTCTGGATGCTGAGTCGAACGGGAAATGGGTGGGTGAGCTGTGCCAAGGGCTGCCGGGACCGGGGTGGGACACATCCTGCACCAGCGCCCCATTGGCCCCCAGCAGGGCACGGGCTGAGTCACTGGGCCACCCTGAGGTGACAACGGTGTCGGTTCCTCTATCACTGCTGCAGAGTTTCATGTCACTGTGCAGGGAAACCCTGCTCCTCTGCCCGGCTGCTGCCCCCCAAGTCTTCTTTTGCAGTCACCCAGGTCTCCTTTCCTGCTCTGAGTCAGAGAAAGTCACCTCCGGCCGAGAGGAGAAGCGAAGTTCCTGAGAGCTACTGGAGCTGCAAAGTCTCCAAATGAATAATCAGTGGCAGAGAGCCCAGTCCTGGGCTTTCCCAGAGGATGTGAGGACAGGGCACAGCCACGTGGCACAGAGGGCACATGGGGCCGCACGGGGTACGTGAGCGAGCCCCACCGGCAGGAGTTTTCTCTCCTTATTGAGCCTGCCCGCAACCCCTTTGTTGCACAGTGAAGCCCAGGCACCATCTGTGCCCTCCATCTGGGTGAGCTGTAGGGCCGTGTTCTGGGAAAGGGGCCTGGGAACCGACCGACAGAGAATCCACATCTCCCCTTTCTGCCTTGGGAAGCAGTGCTATGGCAAGGAGTCACTGCACATCCTCCCGGTGGCCTCGCTGATTACATCCAAGGCCGGGAGATAATCGCAGCCGCCGGCTCGTTTGTCAGCCCGGCCCGCCGGGATCAGTTTGATCGGCCGGCCGGGGATTTCATGTGCTGTGGCAGCGCCTGGTGACGCAGGACCCGCGGGATCTAATTACCCGGGCATCAGCGAGGACGCTCAGGAGCCGGATTCCCCACTGTATTCCTCACCAGCTTCTCCCTTCCCGGGGAAAGTGAAGCTGCTTAACCCTCAAACTTGTCATGCCAAAATGAGCTTCAAAAGGCAGTCAAACATTAACTCATAGCTAACCCTGCCCTTGTCTGGGATTTTCCAAGCACTGTAAAACAGATCTGCCAAAATAAATACATTCTGCTGTGCTGTGGAGCTGAGCTGGAGGTCCCTGTGTGGTTTACAGTGGGAACAGGGGAATCTCTGGGTGTAAACACCTTGGGCATAAGGTGTCCTAGTGTGAGAGGGTGCATCTGTGCATGGGGCACACATCTATCCCAGATGTGTGATCCTGGGCTGCAGGGCTTCCACCCTACTGGGTGCTGAGCAGCCTGGCCTGAGCTGCTGGAGAGCCTGGCCTGAGGCAAAGGGCATGGGTAGAGGAGCCTGAAGGACCTGGAAGGAGAGTGGGCTCCCATGGCAGATGGTGCAGGAGCAGTGAAGGACGATGCACCCCTGGTTATTGTTTGCTCAGGATCTACCCAGAGAGGGTGGAACTCTCAATCTGCCTGGGTCACCCCAAGGCAGCATCCAGCTCAGCAGGCAGATGCTGGCAGCAGGAAGGAACCCTGGTCTTGAAGCTTTGTCTCCTGGGGGATCCCTTCCCCATAGAAGAGAGGGGGCAGGGATGAGAGGGACCCCAGAAACCTGCTCCGAGTCCCAACAGGGGCAATGCTGATGACCCAGCTGGGCATCCTCAGAATTTTTCCCACCTGGGACTCTGCTCTAGGAAAAGGTGTAAATGGGACAGGTCTGGAGCTTGTGATACTCAGCTGGTGCCAGGGAGGAGCCAGTAGACTCCTGGACCTCATGCTCCTGGATCCAGTGAGTGGAGAGGCTACAGTGAAACAGGCTCCAGGTGAGCTCCCACTTGCTGCTCCCAACCTCTCCTGGAGCAGAGCTTGTCCCCAGTGAGCCCTGCCCTGGCACTCACATTTCTGGCCTCTCTTGTCACCTTGCCACAAGGCAGCAGAGTCTGGGCATGCCAGTGTCCCCAGCCCACTCCAGAGAGTGGCCAGCAGCAGCTCCAGACTGGTCCCATGGTGGGACCTTCACCTTTGGCATCCCCGTTTCAACCTGGCCATCACAGAAGAGTCAGACCACAGAGAAAGGTATTTATTATTGGGGAACATATAAAGTCTTTAAGCAAAATGGCTTAAGGCTCTGCTCTAGTGAGGTCTGGCCAGGTTAAATGCTTGGTTCCCACCTGCTACAGATTGTGCCCTGGGATAGGTGGGAATGGGGTGCAATGGATTCCTAAAGCTACAGTGCTTGCTCAGGGCTTGTGCTTGGCCAGTCTGGAGCTGGACCCTTGCCTGGAAGCCTGTGTAGTGGCATTACCTGCTGGCACACTGGTGTGTCCCTGCTCTTCAGCCACCTGGACGCTGGGAGCTTGTGCTGCTGGTGGGAAAACCGCTGAGGGGAGCACCGGCTCTCCTGTGCACCCTGAGGCCATGCAGCGAGTACCCAAGTGCTAAAGCTGCTGCTGGCAACCTGGGTACTGGCCTGTGGCAGAAGAGACCCCCTCTGTGTTCTGCCCCAAGCAGGAGCCTGCAGTGACCCAGGGACAGAGGTCTGTGTCCCCAGCACACTGGATGTGAGGAAGATGAGCCCAGCATGTGCTGCAAAGCCCAACAGCATCCATGAAACCTGCCCAGAGAGCGAGTGGCACGTTCCCACCCTAGAAGAGAAGAAGGAGCTGGGCTTTGTGCAGGTTCCTGCCCAGCGCTCCCTGTCCCACTGTATTGCATCTCCTTCATCTCTCCCAGGCTGTTGGGTGATGCTCACTGCTCTCCCTTGGCTTGGGTCACTTCAGACAAGCCGGGATGCAGGAGAACGTCCTCTTCACCCTCAGCAGGAAGGGACTTGTGCTCCTCATGTCTCTGGTTCTTGGGACCAGTCCTTGCACAGCTCCCTCTGTCCTGGACGTTCCTTCTCTCCCTGCTGGCAGCAAGGCCTTTATTTCTTCCTCGTCATTGAAAGGGGACATCCCATACTTCTGCTTCAGGTGCCTGCGGACCTGGGGAAGGAGCGAGAAGTAAAATATAGTGCTGGTTTACAAGGGTAGGTCCAAGCCTGCTAGCAAAGAGAGCAGGGAAGAAATTAAATCCCCTCAGGACTTGTCCTTGCTCTGAGACCCATGGCAGGCTGAGCCACGGGGCAGGGCACAGGTGGCAGAGGCTTGTCCCACCTTGCGGGCTGCGCTGCCGCTGAACTCGGAGAGCTGCTGCCTGAAGCCGGGGTTGGGGTTGGCGACGGGCCGGATGGTTCGGATGGCATCCAGCACCTCCTGGCAGCTCAGCTCCGTGACAACCATGACATAGGCAACGACCACGGTGGTACTGCGGGAGATGCCAGCAAGGCTGGCAAGGGAAAGTGCAGAAGGGCTGGTGTTAGTGGCACACCCTGGCCCCAATGCTTGCCTCTTCCTCCACCCCTGTGCCTCGGATATTTCAGTTCTTCTTCTCCAAGGACTTGCTCTCCCAGAGGCCTGAGACCTTCCAAGGTCCTGGATATCAGTGCCTATAAATACCCACTCCTCTACAGGGAATGGGAGCAGCAGCCACTGCCTGGCTGCCTGCCCCAAACCCTGCTCATCCCGCACACTCAGCTGCAGCAAAAAGCTGCCCCGGCTCCAGGACTGCCTGGATCCCGCTGGGTTTGAGTCACAAGCCACATCCAAGGGTGGATCCTGGGTGGGTCCACTGGCACAGAGCCTTGTGGTACAGGCTGGCTTTGATCAGGGGTTGCAGCTAAAGTGAGGGGCTGGGGGCTGTATCTGCTGAGCTGGGGGGACACAGCAGCAGGCTCAGGGCAAGAAGCATTACCAGTGGACGAGGCAGTTCCCTCCATGAAGGCGACACTGATGGATAAAACTGATGCATTCCTTGAAGTGCCTCTTGCTAGCAGGAAAAATAAACCAGACAGAATAAGAACTTCAGGGGTGGAACAGCATTTTTAGCTGCAGGCAGAACAGCCCTGTATGTTTGTTTTAGGGGATCTTCCAGCCACTGCTGAGACCTGAACAGCTCAGTGCTGTTTGTTCCCAAGGAAAGGTGGATTTGCCAGCTCATTCTGTGCTGGGGACACAGAAGGGGACACTGTGCTGGGGATGCACGGGGCTGCCCTGTGACTTGTGTGACTCATGCTCGGGCAATGGGACGCTTGCTGCTCGAATCTCCAGCCACGCCTGTGCCCTTGGCTGGCTCCCTACCCTTTATGTGCTCTCCCCTCCCCAGACACTTCCTGGGGAGACACTTACTGCCCCTCTCCATGGGTGCTGTGGAGTAGCTGCCCCTCACCTCACCCCAGGGCTCACACCCTCCCAGCAGTCACTGAACTGGGATGTTCTTGGGGTCCAGGGGTGGTCCCCTGCACTGTGGCATCACATCTCCGGCCTGTGGATCATTGTGCTTGAGGAGCTGGAGGGAGTTGGAACACATGGAGGGCTTGAGAAACTGTGAACCCTCACCTCTGGTCACCCTCCTACCTCCCTGCACATCCTCACCGTGCCCAGGGTACTCACATGTTGGCTTCAGGGGTGTCAGGCAGGGGGATGCGGAGGTAGGTAATGTCCTGGAAGACAGAATAGGAAGAGGAGAAGCTCAGGCACTGCAGCCAGGGTGTCACACATGGTCAGAGCAGGGCTGGCAGTGCCTTTGCTCCTCGCCCACAGCTGCCTACAAGGTTTTGCTTCCCCCACACAGCATCCCCCCAGCATGGGGATGGGGCCACACTCTCCCTGGGGTGAAGGGCAAAGCAAGGGGACACCAGCAGCTCGTGGGAGAGGACGGGAAACAAGAGGAGTCTGGAGAACTGGAAATTATTTCCCGTCAGTGTTCAAGGTCGGGTTATAGTCACATGACAGCCAATTTCCCATGTCAGGGGGCCACCCAGCCCCTCTGGGATCAGTGACCAGGGAGAGGTGTACATGCCATAGGATTCTCAGAGGGGGAAGGAAGATGCAGCATGGAAGGAGCTGCAGGAATCTACAGGGTGACATCTGGTGCAGGACCCTACCTTTAGCAAGGGCTGGGGGGATTCGTGGATCGAAACAATGTGAGTGATCTTGTTCCTGCTTAGCTGCTCCAGGTCTTTGGCATCTGAAGGATAAAACTAGACATCAACATGTATTTATTTCCTACCCTTCTCTTCCCACAGTGCTCCCACCCTGCTTCTACAGCCAGCCAGCACACAGAGCCTTGCTCCAGAAGATCGACTGCATCCCACCCCCACATGCAGCAATGCAGACATGGGCAAACATGGAAAGCTGGAATGCCAATCCCATGATCCCAAAACAGAGGCCTCTCCATGATCCCTCCTCCCTGCGGCTCATGCTAGTTGAAACATTCACATTTGCACAGAAACACTCTGGGTCAGCAGGCTGTGTCCCTCCTGCCCGTACTTGTCCCCACTTTGGGAGGAGACATGCCCTGCCCACATCTCCTTGATCAGACACACACACAGCACTGGAACTTGCTGCAGCCTGAGAGAGCTGCTTCATCTTATGAACTATGGAAGTGGAGCTGCAGCAATTTATATCAACTCTGATTTTCTGTAGAAAACACATGAGCAGTGACTTGCTGCTCTCTGGTCTGTTCTCTCTGCAGCTGTGTGGACAGAAATGGGGTGTCCTTGGCTGTTTGGGGCAATGCTCTGCCTCTAACCAATGCTTCAACATTCTGGATGTGATCCTGGCCTCTGGTCCAGCACAGCAGTTGTTGCACAGGGAGGGGAGCGTGCTTGTCTTGCTGAGCAGCTTCCAAATGTCTCCCTTTCATGCCACAACCAGCAGATGCAGCAAGTGTGGCCAGAGAGGAGGGGAAACATTTCCCCATCTCATTCTTTTGGGTTTCTAAACTTTCACGTGGTGTAAAACCTTGGCTCAGGAATCCAGCCCGGGAAGTGCTAACGGTATGATGTGAATTTTAATAGGAGTGAGTCTCAAGGGAGGTGCTCTGCAGGGAAGCTGCACTCTGTTTGGGGAGGGAGATGAGGACTCACACACCTGCCATCTTCCCATCCGCCTCAGCAGGCAGTGACAGCAAGTGGTGACACTGAAATCAAGGCTCACTGAGGCTGGAAAAACTTCCAGTTGGAGGAGATGCCTCTGTGAGCTTAATGTTGCAGGCCTAGGATCTTGTCACCCTGGATTGCTTGGCAGAGTGATGAGGAGTGCTTGGATGTCATCACACCCAGGCCCCACAGCAGAGGCTGCTCACAGGAACCCCCCTGATGAACCTGGCAGCTGGGTGCCCTTGTCCCTCTGCTCCCAGCAAGCCACAGCTCCCCCAGCCCAACCCGAAGTGCTCCATGGGGCAAAGGGAGAACAGGGCTGCCACGCCAGTGACATTTCCTTAGCAATTCACACCAGTGGTTTTAAACTTGTGCAGTGCTTACAGCAGGAATCAGGCTGGCAAAGGAGACAATCAGAGAGGCAGGAGTACTCATAAATGCTCGTTTGTCATGGCAGATGCTGACACTTGGTCAATAACTGTCCCCTGACAATGAAAATTCCTTAAAATAGTGACTTGGTGTGAGAAGGGGTAACTATGCCTCTGGGAAATTGCCTCTTAAGGGTGGGCAGCCCTCTCTGGCCTCTTCTACAGGTGCAACACTGGGGAAGTACTGACTGACTGAAGTGCCCCAGTCCCGCTCCCTTGCACCCATGTGGCACCACCAGCTCCTCTGCTGCTGGCACAGGATCCATATTTCCTCTTTGGCTCCTTTCCCCCAAGCATCCCAAGAGCTCACGACAGCTGTTAAATAAAGAAACCATGCAAAGACAGGGGTCTCTGCCTTGCCTTTCCCACAGTGTTTTCACTCCCACTACTGCCAACCCAAGCTGGGTGACAGCAGAGCAGGCCGTGGGTGCAGGCAGAACTGTGGGCACAGGCAGGGTGGTGGGTGCAGGCAGGATGTCAGGCAGCATTTGCAGGCAGGAAGACACCAGCTCAAGCAAACCCACTCTCTGCAGCAGCTGGGTTCCACTTACCAACGAAGTTCCCAAGGTAGAGGCCAGGAAGGATCTGTGGGACACAAGGGGAAGCGGCAGTGTGAGCAGTGACCCTGTGCTGTGGTACCCACTGTGCTGTGGTACCCACTGTGCTGGAACCCACGCTGGGAAGCGCTGACCTTGGCTGGAGGGAACACAGTTCTGGCATTGACATGACCATTGCCAGCCCCAGGGCAGGGACGGTGCCAGGGCAGCTGGACCTGTGCATTCCCAGGGCTGCCACTGCCCTGGCATCCAGGATGTGGGGCTGGATGTAGCCCTGGCACTGCACTCTCATGGGTGCTGGGAGCCAGACATGGATTTTTTTATTGCTCCTCTTGTTTATCATCAATTAGGCCTCCATTCGGGTTTATTACCTGAGCTCAGCAAGTTGCATACACCTTTGTACAGCCTTGGACTATACCCGTGACCTGTGGAAGCCCTGCTGCTCGAAGGATGGGAAAGCAACAGGCACAGAGAAGCTTCTAGGGAGTGTAGCTGTCCCCCTCCCAGCCCTGAGCTGCACTCCCCTCACTCTACACTGCAGGAAGCCCATTTCTCACAGCTCAGGCACAGATTGCTCTGGACACCATGCTTTCAGCTCATTTCCCTATGGAAATTCCACTTCTCATGATGAAAAGATAATTACTTGACAAGGCCTCTGTTAACAGCACTGCAGATGTAGAAGCAGGACATCTTGCAAACCTTGTCAGCCACAGCTATTTTATATTCTCCTTCACTCCCAGCCTGGGCAGTGAGTTCAATCCTGTATCAAGCCAGTTCTCTGCCAGTTTCTCCCTGCAGCAATATTTGGTGCCCAGGGCGGGTGGAAGTGATTTTCACCAGCACAGCTGGACTCACACTTGTCTCACTGCTCACATTTGGAAACGTTTTTCTCGATTGAACAGCTTAAAGAAGTGGGGTTTTTCTGTGATTCCTGTGATTTTAGATCAATTTCCTATCGACAGGGTGCCTTTAACTCACAGCTGCGGCACTGAGAGGAGCGGGTGGGAGAGCGCCAGTTAGCAAGGGCAGCTCCCAAGGGCAGGACACTGAACCATGAATAAACAGCATGTGCCTGTCCCCAGCACCCTGCTGACCCGCTCCTCAGAGGAGAAAACGGGGCAGCACATAAATACAATAGTGCCCATCCCCTCTGCTCTGTGGTGCCGAGCCCCATGCACAGCCCAGCCCCGCTGAACAGGGGGTGCGGGACCACCAGGCTCGGGGTCATACAGGGCTCACAGCGTGTGCTTATGGCTGGTTCCTTGGGATTAAAGGTATTGGGAAAAGTTCCCCCCTTCCTTGAAGGAACTCGCTGTGACCCCTTCCCTCCACCCCTCCCCGGGCAGCTGTCAGCTGTCCCAGCGCAGTGTCCCTGCCTGTTTCACCTCCGGTGTGCTCTGCCGGCAGACAAACAAACAACCAGCCGAGCCCGGTGCCGGCAGGTGAAACGCCGCTTGGCACGGCAGAGGCAGCTGCCAGGTAAGGGTCTCCCAGCTCCAGCACCGGACGAGCCGCCCGGGCACGACCGAACCGCAGAGCAGCCGCCCCAGCGCTCCCCTTTACCTGGCTCATGCCGTTCCCCATGGCCGACGGCGGGCGCCGGGGGTGGGGACGGGGCGCGGGTGTCCTTGTCCCCAATGCTGCCGTCCTCCCCGTCCCCGGGCGCAGCTGCCGTCCGCGCTGCCTGGTCGGGTTCCCGTCATGAAGAGCTTGGCTCCCCCGGGCTCGCTGCTCGTTCCCAGCGCGGCGAGGCCGGGCCGGTGGCTGTGCCGGGGCAGGGGGGACCGCGGCCGCCGTCCTCCGCCGCTGCTGCCGAGGCCCTTCCCCGGCTGCTCCGGCGCTGCCGCGCACCGGCCGCTGCCTGGCCGGGAGCAGACAAAGGAGGAGAGGCTCCCCCCCTGCGCCGTGGCGTGGGAGCACGGGGCCGCGCTGGCTGCTGCCTGTCGCCGCTGCCCGCGGCCGCACAAGGCTGCACTGTTGGGAGAAGAACAAAACCTTTGTCCTACTCCATCAAGGAAGGTCTGTGCGGCCACGCGGCGAAGCGCCCGGCAGGATGCCCACCCCTGCCCACGCCATGCCCACCCCTGCATGCACCATACCTATCCCTGCCCTGCCCGCAGCGTGCCCACCCCTGCCTGCACCACACTCCTCCCTGCCCTGCCCTGCCCGCTCCAAGCCCACCCCTGCCCGTGCCCACCTGCAGCCAGGTGCCGCAGGATCCTTATACCCTGCCCGGGAGGCTGCAGGAGTTGTCCTGGGGACTTCGCAGGGCCGCAGGAGGGGCAGGGCTGAGGGCTCCCCAGCCCGGCTGAGGGCTCCCCCGCCCTGCCTGTCGCCGCCGGCCCGCAGGGGGGCCAGGCTGGGGGTCGCGGGGCCAGGCCGGGGGTCTCGGGCCGGGGGTCTCGGGGGTCTCGGGCCGGGGGTCTCGGGCCGGGCCGGGGGTCTCGGGGGGCTCGGGCCGGGCCGGCGCTGCGGGGCTGCGGTGCCGAGAGCGCCCCCTGGCGGCCGGCGGCGCGGTTGCCATGGGGACGGGCGGGGGTCGCGGGTCGGGGGTCGGGCCTAGCTCGGAGCGGGGCCCGGGGGGTGCCCGGGGGGCTCCTGGCGGGTTCCCAGCTCTGTATCCCAGCTCCTCCATGTCCCCGGGGCAATATATTAAGCCCCATATGCTCTTTGTGCCCCCTCCGCCCCCCTCCCCAAACTTCCCACTGTGTATGGGAGTATGGCTGGTATCTATGGGTAGGTTTAGATGCCACAGGCATAATAGAATTAATTAGGTTGGAAAAGACTTCTGAGATCGTGGAGTCCAACCTATGACTGAGCGCCACCTTGTCAGCCAGACCAATGGACTGGGTGCTACTCCAGTTTTTCCTTAAACACCTCCAGGGAGGGTGATTCCAGCACCTCTCTGGGCAGCCCATTCCAATGTACAAACACCTACAGCCCAGTCCTCTCCTGGCCAATGTCTCCTGCAGCACAGTGGCTGAGCAGGATGTGATCCCACTGGGAGCCTCAGCCCTCACCAGACATGGCATTTGAACAGCCAGGTCTAGTGGAAGGTGTGCCTGCCCATGGAAAGGGAATGGAATAGGATGAACTTTTAAGGTCCCTCCCAACCCAAACCAGTCTGTGACTCTGTGGAGGGTGATTTGTAACACTGGGTTGACCGGCAGTGGTTCAGGAGTGCTGTGGCTGAGCTGCTGCAGAGTCACTGTGGGCAGCTGCCTGCCCTGGAGAGGGGGATGCTGGCTGCACAGGAAAGCTACAGCAGGAATGGTGGAACGTGTACTGTAATACTTGCCCTGTCCTAGCCCCTAGTGCTCATGCAGAGAGACAAAAATTGAAGTCGATCCTCTTCCTCCACAAAGAAAAAGCAGTTATCAGTGGTATCTATATTTATTTATTTTTCCTCTCAGAATATGAGGTGCAGTTGATCCCCAGAAGCTTCTCAAGGGCAATTAAAGCAAGTCATACTGTGGGAGCATTTGTTGTGCTGAATCTTGTATTTCTCTTCCTACCCAGCTGAGTCAGAACAGCTGCTTAGCAAAGGATCTGAAGAGGTTTCAGAAGCAGTTAGAAAGGGAAGCGGGGAAGCCTGAGGCAAGAAAACGTGCCTTTATTCTGAAGACCCTGAAAATGCCTTCAGAGTACTATTTGTTTGTGGAAGAATTTTGCAAGAACCCTGGCATCATTTGGGTCATGATACTGGTAAGTGTGTGCTCTCCCAAGGAAAGTGAGAGATGAATGGATGCCTTCGTTCTTCAGGGGGAGAGGAAAATATGCAGGAAACCCGCAGGAAGAATTGGGCAGAGCAAGGTAACATGGAGCAGCAGTGCTCCTGGCCAGGTTTCTGATCAACATGTACCACCAAAACACTGCTTCTTGTGTAAGAGTTTATTTCAGCTGCCAAAAGTCAGCTCTGTTTATTTGTAGAACCAAAGTTAATTCAGTGGTAAAGGTATAAAGTGCAAAGTTCTGTGTGGAGGAACAGACTGTGCTCCCAGGGGTTCTGACTGTGGGGTTCTGGCTGAGTTCATGCTCTGAAATCTTTCAGTTCAGCTGCAGGTGTGCAAGAAGGTGGCATGTGCAGGACAGGTGGCTAATTTGGCTTCTGGTTAACGAGCATTAGGGCAGCCCCCAAAGATGGAGCTATTTGGATTTAGGGAAATCCCATTGTGTCAGATGTCAAGTCTGGTGTAAACTTACTGGGTGGAATTCCAGCCTGAGACTGTGAAGAGATTATGGAAGGCTCCGTCATCACAGAAACCCAGAATGGTTTGGTTTGTTACAAGGGATCTTAAAGTTAATGTCTTTCTATCCCCATGCCATGGGCAGAGACAACATCCACTAGACCAGGTTGCTCAAACCCAAGTCCAGTCCGGCCTTGAACTCTTCCAGGAAGGGCTATCCATTACCAGTCTGGAGCACAAGGTGGGGTGGACTTGGTTGGCATGAACTTCTCCCTGCCCTACAGGTAGAGAAGGGCAGCCTTATGCTTTGAGTCATGTTTGTCCCCCTGGACAAACATGGAGCTACGCTGAACACAGCAGCTTCCACTTCAGCCAGTGATCTGGGGGTTAAGGAAAAATTGTATTTGCTTTAGAAATCCTGACAATATAATGTGACACTGAGAAATGCCTTGCCCGTGCCAGACGATTCAAGCCATTTAACATCCTAAGTGTTGTGCTGTGATGCATAATTAAAAACACACCCCTGCAAGTGAGCAGTTCCTCTGTTTTGTGCAGCAGGTCTGGTGAGGAGGCTGGGACAGGAGGATTTGTCTTACCCTTGTGAGAAATAACTGGGAGGTAATTATGCAAACTAACTCGTGAATTACAACCAGGAGGATAGCAGCTATTGATTATCTAACTCTACAAATGGGAAGTGTTAATTGGCAACAAAACCCTTACATTAAACTGATTTTCTGCCCCACAACCTCAATTAACATGGTAAATAACCAGAACACAGTAAATAAGGATATATGAAAAGCCTGTGATTACTGAAATTATACCAACAACTTAAATAGATTGTGGCTGACCTCAAAACTTGCAGGCAAGTAAAAATAAACTCCATGTTACTCCTTCTGTTGCTCTGTGTTCTGGAGCAGCCCTGTGTTGTGATGTCCTGGGTTGCCCACTCCCACACTCAATAGGCAGTTGTAGGTCAGGATGTGCCCAGTGCCACATCCTGGGCTGGAGGAAGCTGGACCTGGGCAGCAGTGTGGGAGCTGTGCTCCTTGGTTGCCTTATCTGGGCCACTCCTCACCCTCTTCTATGCAATATTTTGCATAGATTTGCCTTCAAGATTTTTCTGCTCATTTTGCATGGTTCTCCAACACCTTTTTTGTCTTCCCTGTTTAATTAAGTTCTTCTGTAACATACACAAATTTTAAATGGGACTTAAAATTCCCAACAACATATGTTGCGTTACGTATATTTCTGGAAACGTGTGACAGAGTTTGTTTATTTGGTGCTGTGGGAGTTCCCCATAGGCTGCCTGCTCTGCCTTTCCTCCAGGAATCCTCCAAACACAAACATGAGGGGGTTTTTGTTGAATCTCCCTGCCCCCATAACCTTAAATAAACACGCTTGCACACGAGCAGCTGATGAATCAGGTTATGCAGGTCTTCTGCACTGAAGTTCTGGGAAACTGCAGGAAATGCTAACATTAAAGCCACTAAGTCTGCTCTCCCATCTGTAGGTTGGCAAGTCACAAGGTGGGGGAATGTTCCTGAAAACTGAAATGTATAATTGACTGAAGAAGGTGAGAATGACTGTCTTTTCTTTGGGAATATCCAACAGGCATTTTGTTCATTTGCTCTTTTTTCATCCTCTCCTTCTGCCAGTGCTTGGCCTGTTCTCCCATGATGACCTCCTGCCATACTCTTCACCATTCTCCAGGTTAACAATAAAGCTTTTTACAATGGATTTTTCCAAATGGATGGATATTTCTTTTGGGATCTGATTTTTTACACTTTGTGTGCATATTTATATAAAAACATCCAATCTCAGGTACATCTAACACTAGGCAGCAACTGGGTTACATATATACATAAAACATATGCATATGTTATAATATATTTATACTATATATTCTTTGGTTGATCATGCACAGGGCCAGGAGTTGGACTTAGATCCTTGTAGGTCCCTTGCAACTCAGGATTTTCTAAGATTACAGCAGGATAAGAAAGAGACTGTGCAGTTCTACTGCTTGGTATTAGATGCATCAGATGAACCTTGTCACTTCCAACTCCTGCAAACACCTACAGGACTCGGCTGGCCTGTCGCTGCTGCTGTCACCCTGTCTCTCTCCAGTCCTTTTTCATTGGAAAACTGGTGTCATCAGATCACTGGAAATGTCAGTTTGACAAATCAGCTCAGAACAAAGCTGAAATGTCACTCCTGGTTTTACTGTTAGTGGTTGAGTTTTGGCAGCCTTTCTTCTTCCTTGGGTTCACAGAATGTAAGGACAGGGTGATTCACGGGAGAGAACTATTTGATTTTCAACGTGTCACACTTGCTGCTGTATTGAGTTTGATAGCTTTCATTTGATTAACACATCTTCCCAAAAGTTATGCCGCCTCAATTTGATGGTTTAGGAGACAGAAAAATCCATCAGTTCGCTTTCTGAAAGTTCAGCAGGGTTCACACTCGCTCTAAATGATCAAAAGCCTTTCCAGAGTAGCGGGTGCAGAGTACCCTACCCTTGGGGGAGGGTGTGCCAAGGTTTAAGACATGGTGACGTGAAGATCTTGTTCCAAGCCCCCTGACGTGGGCAGGGACACCTTCCACTATCCCAGGTTGCTCCAAACCCCATCCAACCTGGCCTTGGTCACTTCCAGGGATGGGTGTTAGCACTCACCCTTGAGTGGTAACTGAGGTTCTTGTTAATACATCTCCTGGGGAGAATTAGGGTGAAATTACACTGAATGACCAATGTACATATATAGGGCAGGCTTGTTTTAAAACAAATTAAAAGAAAAAGAAGCATACAGCTGTTTTGATTATTTTCTATAAAAATATAAAAGTAAAATGAAGTGGAAACATAAGAGAAAGAAAGAACAACAAAAGGCAGGGGAGAGGAAAAAATATCACCACCCATGGATCCAGTGATGAGATTTCATCACTGCAGTTTCAATGTCTGTGGTCTGCATGATGGTCACAGTCTTCATCCATTAGGTGCCCACACACAACAAAGACTTCCATGGGTTATATGTGTTCAGTCTTAGGGGAAATGCCTCGATACCTCCCTTTGGGGTGGAGGGTTACTCTGTCACATGAAGCTGTGCCTTATAGGGATGGAGGAAATTGGCATGTCACAAAAACCTTAGCCCACCTCTGCAGGATCTGCTTCTTATATGCCTTTTCCCTTATCTGATGCAATAACACTTTGTCAAAGTGGGTTATCTGGGAAATAATAGATCGCAGGGCTCAACCAATTTATCTAAGCAAACTTTGGTCTATCACAACAAGGCATTCACAGCTTCTCCAGGCAACTTGTACCAGTGTCTCACCTTAAGGTACAGCACTAAGGGCTGTTGTTATTTCCTTTTCCATTACTTTGTCGACTACTTCTGAATTTTACTATTTTTGGTCAGATAGCATCATGCAGTGTTGGATTTGTGCTCAGGTGGCTGAAAACTGAGAAAATACTTAGGGACAGACAGGGAAAATAACTGTTGCTGGGGCACAGAGGACTGTCAGAGTGAGAAGTGCATATTTGCTTGTTCAGTGTCTGTTTGTCTTGGATCTTTATCTCTGTTTCAGCCCAGGTGTTCCTCTCACAAACATGGCAGCACAAAAGCCTGCACCTGACTGCTCCTGGCCAGGGAGGGGGACATGCTGCCTCCAGGCTATTCCTGGCTGCTTGCTGTGGCATCTCTGGCAGGTGCAGGTGAGCTGATTTTGCCCTGCCAGCTGCACATGTGCTGCAGCCACTTAACTGTGCTGCCTCTTCCCCTGACACACAGCCAGGTGATCTCCCTGGTAGCAGCTTTAGGTGTGAGGCTGGGCCAGCCTTCTGCTTTAATGTCACTTTGTGCATCTATAATGTGGATCTTTTTTACTTTAAACTCAATTATGTTCTTGTTAGTGCACTCCTGAGAGGTAGATGTAGCTTAGCCTTTTGCTTCTGAGACCTCAGAGGGACAGCAAGGCTGGCATTGCTGCACACAGCTGTCACTGTTAAGCTGCCTCTCTCAAGAGGTGGCAGCTGAGGGAGAGAGAGAGGGAGGATGGAAGGAAAAAAATAGGTTGTCAGATTCCTCATGAATCTGAGAATGGTGTTTGAGCATAATGGAGGATGGTGTATTTCCCATTTTTCCCATTAATATCCCATTTTATGGGCTGCTCTCTTCTATAAATCTCTCTTGTCACTAAGGAAGGGAGAATTTTTGCAGTACCCTGATAGCAGAGAGAATGTAAATTGCTTCTGGGGAACTTCTGATGGAGACCTGGAGATTGTTTTCTCCTATAGGTGCATAGTAGTTAACCCTGGAGGATTTAACTGCTGAGTGTGGCTGGTGGCCCCAGCCTTATGGTCTCTGGCCTTTCACTCAGAATTCTTGCTGGGCCGTGGAGATTATGATTGAAAACAAATCACATGGACTAAATGTGTGCTCATCTGTTGGGAATGACTTTGTGTAATTGTTTGGATGTCTCAGGACTGCAGGTGAGTGATCAAACAAACTGGACAGTGCTCAACTCCCAAGTGTGGGCCACGGCCATTGGAGGTTCTCATTGTGGATATGGACAAGCACTTTCATCCAGTGTTCATCCAGAAGGGAATTAGCAGTGACAAATGCTACTTTGATCTCCTAGGCTGTGACATCCCAACCTGTCAGGATCTGAAACCCTCAATGTGTTCTTAAGCAGACAGGGGATTACAGTGTCGGGTCAGCTGCTGGCCCTGGCACGGGGGTGTCTCGTGATGCTTTCACACCTTGCAGGTAGGGAGGGGTTTGCAGGCTGAGGGAGCTGGTGTGGTGCAGCAAGTGAGATGTACAGCTGTGTGAACTGGTTACATGAAGGAAGCTGCCACCTGGAAGGATATAGCTGCTTTTAATCAGAGAATCAGACTTCAGCTGGGTGCAGCACCATGTAACTCTGTCAGATCTCTAGCCCTGTTGTGAAACCCTGCCAACTTGGCTATTTCTGGAAGATATTCCCCTCCAAATACCAGCAAATCACAAGTATCAGAGCACTTGGAGGGTTATGATCACCTCTCCTGCTTATGTGTCCCACAGCAGTGCCCATCAGCATTGATAAACTTCCCCCCAGAGTGGTTTGGCTGCCAGCAATGAACATCACCACGTCCATGGTGCTGTGACCGAGATGCAGACCAGGAACTGAGGGTACTTAACAACAAAAAGCCCTTTAAAACAGAATTTGACTTGGTTGGTTTTGTTTGTTTGTTTTTAACACAGGTTTTCTCCCTAGTTAAGTGAAAAATAATTATCATGAAATTCAGCTGAAATTCTCAGAAATTTATCTGCTGCATTTGCAACAGAAGTATTGCAACAGCAGAAACCTGAGAACGCAACTGATGTGTCATTACAAGAGTTGAGAGAAACAGAAACAGCAAATAGCACTACAAAAATGACAAGCAAAAATACGATTATTATTCTTTCAGTCTGAGTCATGTAAAGAGCAAGCAGAAGCACAGGTAAGGCAATTTCCCTTAGATGTGACTTAGATTGCTGGTGCTCTATCAAATGCCTCTAAATTAACTCTTCTAACAAGACATGGTCACTGGTATTACTTGTTACAGCAATGTGTCCTGTCAGCTTCAGCCCAATATTTCACATGGTGCCACTGGGGACAGTTTTATTTCAAATGAACAAATAAATTAAGCTCATTTCTGGTCTGGAATAGCTCTAATGTGTACAATCTACTATGTTCACAACCTCAAACAAAATTACTGCTAAGGCAGCCTGCAGGTAAAGGGCCAAAGTAACTTCAGTTAGTCAGGAAAGAAATTAATTGGAATGAAAGTCCTTGATGTCATCACAGTGCTGCTGGGCTCTCAGAGAGATATCTGAACACTCTGCTGGGAACCTGTTCCCTGCAGACACCCACATCTGCAATTAAAAAGGGTTAATGCTCATTTTGTGAACCTTCCTCAGCACTTGCTGCTTCAGCATGACTTTTTTTTTTTTACTTTTCTTTCTGGAAGCCAAAGGGATTTTTTTTTTTTCTTTAGTATCATCAAGAACAGGAATAGAAACTTTGCAACAAGCTCAGAATGTTCTTTGGCTCAGCACATGGGAAAGAGATTTAGGGTTGGATTTCCTATTGCTTCACACTCACTCCTGCCTGCTAGCAGGGTAATGATTTTGTGGGCAGGCATTTTTCTTAATGAGGCATTGGTAAAACTGCCTGTTTCTCCCTAATATACTGTTATATCTCCTCAGCTGGGTTCTGGAGGTAAACACTTCACACACTGCCAGCTGCCAGGGAGACTCTGAACTCAAGTTCATCTTCTGAAAGACTCACTTTGCATTGTGAACAGGGAGAGCAGGGTGGGGTGAAGATGTTTATCACTTTCTGAGGGGTTTTATTACACTGTTTGGGATGGACGGTCTGGTTTCATGATTTTCTTGGCAACTGATCATAATCCTCTAACCTTCATAGTGATTAAATGATGAATATCCAAAAGCAGAACAAAGTAAGGAAGCAAGTTGCCCCTTCAGAGTGGGAAAACAAGGCAGCATGGGGCTGCCAAGGGACTGCAGCCCATGTTGGAGCCAGGACTTGCACAAGAGCTCTCTGTCAGAGGTCCTTGTGCACTGTGCCTCCCACTCGTGCTGCTGCTGGAGCACTCTGTTCCCAGCAGCTGGTCTTGCAGCATTTTGTCATTGACCATACAACTGTGCTAACCCCAGATATTAATAGCAGAGAGATGTCCTCTGCTTTCAGCTGTTCAGCTG